GACGTCCCAATAACCCCTCCGGAGATAAAGAGGAATGACCATGGTGTTGGTCATAGTTGCAAACTTAGCGATTATATGAAAAAACGCCGTGAAAGAGAGCTGGAAATGATGACACCCAGTGAGAGAAGAATTGCTGAAGAAGAAGACAGAAACAAGAGGATGCAAGAAGAAGATGCTGAGCGAAGGATGGAAGAGGATAAAAGAAGAAGAGAGGAAGATTATCAGAGAAGAAAAAGAGAGGCACACTGGGCAACAAGAGCACTTAATAAACTGAGAGGAAATACCCAGAGAAACGACAACCAGGAAATCAAGGAAACCGGGCGTATAATCTTTGTTCAGCCAGTCAACCAGAGCGAGGAGGAAGATGAGGTGAGTGGACCTTTAGAAAACTTCTTGACCAATTATGAAAAAGAGCATTAGAAAGAAAACGATTATATATCAAGAAACTTATATATGAGTTGGATATGCACATGTACTGCAAAATAAATTTCATACTTGCTTAGGGGGTTGCCCCTGTGCAGTCCTTGCTTAACTATTTCAGTTCAAACTGATGTTTACCCCCAATAGGTGATTGTAGACATTATTTCTAACTCAACTTGCTAATTGAAACTCTAGGGAAGAAAGCCATCATATATTGACATCTGTTTTTTGAAGCATTTACTGATTTTAAATAATCATCTTAACCTAGTTATCTAGCAGAAAATTGATTTGATCAGGTCAGTTGAGAGAAGTTCCTACCCCTACAATTTTGATGAGTGGGGGAGAATGACTATAAAGTATCAGGCACTGGGGAGCGTTGAGAAAAGCGGGGGTCTAAAAAAGTGAGGGGGGCTAAAACCATATAAAAGGAGGCTTTACTGGTAGTTTATTACTTAATATTTAGAATATTTTGCAAAAAGTGGCTAAAGCCCCTTCCCAGCCCCCCTGCTCTGTGGTGCCTGAGTATGGTAGTATATTAAGGTCCCTTGCACCCAAGTAATGAATTTAGATCAAGGGGGTGGGGTGGGGGGATTGCATATATCTAGAGATAATTTCAAAACAGTAGAAGCTTGCATATAAGATATATTTTTCAGTTAAGTATCTTAGTCAGGTAGGCTCTTAGTCAAGGAGTATCTTTAATTAATTTAGGGTTTAAGTTCTTATCCAATCAATGCTTTCTTATGGCACTTCAAAGCTCCTCTAATTCCTAATTTTTGCCTTGAATGTGCTGCACTACCGATATTTACTTACACTTACTACATAACTTAATATAGAAGTTGAAAGTAATTTGTAATCATTTAAGTAAGAACCTATTATTTAAAATTTGCATTAAAAGGTGATTAATTAAAAGGGTATAAAATATAAATTTTCATCTGCAAGTTCTTACAAAAGTAACTTGTTATATGTGGGCTTTTACTGTATGGGTTCTTATAACTCCATCCATGCAAAGGGGTACAATTTTAGGAAAGAGAGAAATGCCAAACCATTTTAGGTTGATGAGGAAAAGGCAAATACACAAAGCAGCACTCCTCTTCAACCTTGGGACTTTTTTAGATCAAATCTAAAATATTTTCCAGGAAGCCCAGTTATAGCAGCCCAAGGGTATAGCTGCCTAAGTAAAAAAACACAGTACAAAATAGACTCCATTAGTGATAATTGAATCTAAGTCTACATTACGGAGCAGTGACCAAACTACTGGGTATCACAAGCTGGTGCTATAATTTTAGCCATTCTTTATATTTCTATTTCACCCCTTGGTAAGAAATTTTTGAAGGGTGTTGTTGATATTTTTTAGAATTTTTGAATCATTTGTAACTAAACAAGTCTTTTCCATCTTTGGTTTTTGATACAGACTTGGGCAATCCCATAAGTGCAACACAATAGAGTCAGAAACAAGCAATTATTTTAGCTGTTTGTAATGCTTGATGCAAGCATAACCCAGGAAGATAAGGACAAGCAGAATCTGTGTAGGGTTAAGTTTCAACAAAGCCATCAGATTATTCTTTAGCACTAAGCTTTATAAGTAAGGTGACCATGAACAAATATATTATCAAACTAACAATGTGCATTTTATCTCCAAATCAAAACAGAGAAAAAATCTATGAATGCATTCTTTCAAATTTGAAAAAATTGGCCTCTTATTCACCTATTAAACTGCAGGTTTAGCTGCAGATTTATTTCATGTATATACAGCAAAAAATAGTTGGAAATGAGTATTTTCATGATTTAGTTATCTGTTTAAAACAGTCAGATATACCTTGCTCTGAAGCCTAGTAAAATGCTAGCTTTCAGTCAAAAAGTTAGCCACTGTAGATTTATTTGATTTACAAAAGATGCTTAATACAACTTAAAAACTTTTAACTAACAGATATGCCAGGAATTTGCAGATATACCTTTAATAGTTTAGTGACCAATATAAAAAAAATCATAGATAATGCATAAAACATGCACATTATAAATTGCTTTAAATGCTTCTGCAAATATGTCTTCTGACATACAAGCAATTTGCTGGATGCTTGGAAAAGTTTTTAGTCACCAATAGAACATAACCATAACATTTTAGCAAGGGAACATCTCCAGTTAAAAACTATTTCCCCATATGTGTTAAAAAGCCTGAGCTCACTCTTAAATTAAAATTTTTCGGGACCAACCGAAGTTACGCTTTGTGAAAAAAACGCCAGTAAATTAGCAAAAGGGGGGCCTGCCAATTTCATTTTAGTTGGGCTTAATAAGGTCTCCTATTTGGCCTACTGATGAAAATTAAAATAGAAAAAATACCTCTATCAAGAAATTTTAAAAATCTAACCTGGCATTTCTTTCTCTTCAGTTTCCGAAGGCGATCGATTTTCTTTTTCCTTAGCACATCTGTGCTCCCTGCATTTCCACTACTGCCATTCAACGTAGGCAGCATGGGCCTAGTCTCAGTATCTTCTTCCTTGGACGAATGCCCCTCGGAACCCAAAGCAATGGTTGGAACAGCATCATGCTTGATCTTTGGTCGGTCTAACTTCCAGTCAATACTACGTAAAACTGCCGGGTCCTTTTCAAAACAACTGTTTTCAAAGTGGATACTACATACTCTTGAGTGAGCAGAGGGTTTGAAATTATGTCGACTAATTTTCTCGACCCATGCTCTCCTCTGGAGAGGATCTGTCGGAAATGAAAAGAAATGAATACCAGAGCCCTTGTATTGTCTTCTTCTACATGATCTTACAGCACAACCAACCATGACTTTACCACATATGGATAACCCGAAAGAACATGCAACGAACTTGAATTTTATACCAACTGAAGGCTGGATGCCGAGATTAGCAAGGCTTCAAGATTCAAATGTCATCTGTTACGTCATGTGTTCGCCCATAATCCATTTCGTTCTCAGATCAAGGCCCAATAAAATGAGCACGGCACAAGATATGAGCCCAATAAAAATTAAACAATTAAAGTGGGGTTTGATACTAACATCTTTCTAACAGAAGCATTTCTCTTTTCAGGAGTAAATGGCGCGTGCCAAGGTTGGGTCAGCAGAGGGTGTAGAGAAGTGAGAAGCATGACATGCAACGAAATATTTTGCAAATGACGGGAATACGGGCCTTTAACGCACCCTTCCGTGTCTGCAAAGATCTGTTTGCTTTTCAACCTGGCCCAACAGAAGAACATAACATCTACCCTAGAAAGAGCGCCCCTCCAAAGAAATATACCATCGCGGAAAAGAACACAATGAACTACTTGTTTGTAATTTTATTCTAGTTGTAAAATACGTTTTATCTAATGAAATTTGGTGAAAGAATGTCTTTAATGATACTGGAACCTTTGGGCCTGTCTGTTCGAGCCAGAGAAATTATAAGGCAACTTGGGGAAGGGTGTAAAATCCACTTGACTTAATCCGTGGACCTGGTTCAAAACATGTGTAATGTAACGCTAGTGCTTATTTACCACAATGTGTTCAGTTCCAATATAACGCTCTTCATACCAAGCCCTGAGATAGAAAATTACAACACGTTGTCCACAACGCATACATCGTAGTTAAAAAAGTACCGGCGTATACCTTCAGAATCAAGGGGCCTATAAACGCGGGAAGCAATTCAAAAGGTTAAGGCACATATAGGCAAAAAAGGGACACATCTCTTTTTCTGAAAAGTAGGGTGGTGGACACAACCGCAGTTTCTGAAGGGACCGTATAATCTTGAACTGTATAATCTCAATCATGCTAAAATTTTGCTTGCAACTAAGATTAATAAACGAAATTTGTTGGCTACTATCTGCATTTGAAGGGTATCATCTTATGATAAAACTAAACCTTTTCAACAAAAAACGTTCACTTATCATTTGAGGAAAGGTACTTGTATCCTTCAACGTAAATGAAATGCATAAATCTTGCAATAAATGCGTAGAAATGGGAGAGAATAATAAAAATTTACATGGGTTGAGTTGCATATAATTACCAAAGTTTTTCTTCATTTGGAAAAATAAGTTTTTCCTAGAAAAATCGGGTTTGTACGTGGGACAGGGTGAAGTATGAGGTTGTTAGGAACTTCGACAGACCTTTAACTAGTACGATGCTAAAATTTGATAAGCTGTTTTGAAAGGCACGAAGAATGTACCTTCAATTTGATAGGGAACGGCGTTTGGAATGGAACTTGTTATGGTCACAATCCACGAAGAAGTCCTGGCAAAAACGGCACTGTTGCAGTAAAATATCGACCTAAAAGGGGCACTAACTTTTCCTAAAGTAAATGGGTACTTGCAAAAACCTAGATGAGGAGAAAGAGTACCCCTCGTCACTGGGTTCAAACTTCTATCGTGTTTATTGCTAGACTAGACAGCTTTGTTTCAGAAAGAAACTTTCAAAAACTCCATCCTTACGTATATCAGATTTGTTTATAATTTTCGATTGCAAATTTCAATTTTTTACCCCCAAAAGAAAACGATACGATTGATAACTATCTTTGAGTATGAAAGGGCATGTTCGATAAGAAAGTGAAATTCAGAGATAGAAATAGACAAGGAATAAATGTACACGATCTGTTTCGATTAACCATGCAAATTATCAGCCCGTACACGATATTAATATTACTTTAAATCATTCTTCTTATAAATTTGAATGTTCTACGAAAATTTATACATAGAGTTACCATTATTCAGAATATATGAACACAACCTGAAAAAAATAAAAAACTTTCCTTTTTTGCAAAACCTTTGGTACATTCTTGATGATTCTCAAAACATACTTTCGCTAAAAAGTTTTTGCTTGGAGTCTCCAAAAAGGGATTTAATGTTTAGGGGTCCTTTGACCTCAGCTAAGAACTCAAGGGGTTACCTCTTGGGCATGCATCTTCTATCTAGGAGACCTTGGTTGTCGTAAACCTTATGGCAGTGAAATGTTTGGCAATAATTCAAAACTTATCTCATAATACTGTCCATGCTCATTGTTCATAACAGAGTACGATACAAAATATAACAAAAAGGGCACAAAATAAGATTGAATAGAGTAGAAAATATAACAGAATAGGACACAAATAACATTGAGGAGGGTATAAAATATAACAGAGTAGGGCAATCATCTTTCATCGATCGATGAGTAACAAAGGGCGTAACAAGGAACACACCACCATAAAAATAATAACATACTGTACAGAATTCCGATAATAAAAGTATGTGGTAGCCAACCGCCACAAAAACAAGGGAAAACCAGACATGAATGTATAAATTACCAACCCACAATTACATGACGTAGAGACAAACGATAACTTCGTTGGTCAAACAATTATTTACATGAGGTATTTCATTATAAATTTATTAGAAGCATATGTTACATAATAACTACTGATTCACTTGAGCAAAGTGGCAACAGAATGAGTGAATGCTACCAAGGGCTGTTGTCAACAAACCAACACGCCTTTGTTTCCAGGATGCTTCAGGCAGCAGTAAGTCATTTTTAAGGCTGTTGGCCATTTCATTTTCCGGCTGCTGCATTTCATGAGAATAAATAAACTTAGAAAATAATTTCGAAACATAAAGATTAGGATGACCTCAGACAAAGATTTATTCGTTTCTTTGTCGGAGGGTAAAATGACTGAACTCTTGTGAGATGTAAACATTCCTGTTCGAAACGTCTACAAGGACAGGAAACCAATTTTGGGGACAGTCTTCCAGTAAAATATCCAAGAAAACTTCACCTGCGGAAATGACAAATGTTTGTTTTAGCTGGACAAAGAAAGTTAATTATCATTTTGCCTCAGGGTGATGTGGGTACCTCACTAGGGATCTATCAATCGTATTGTGCTGAGCCAGTATAAACAGGGTGTTCATCAAGAAGGTTTGCAGCAGTATCGTCTTTTTCGAAATTACAAAATAATTCAATATATGCTCTAATAGTTAATAGGCTATCTCCAAACGAAATAAGATAATGTTAGATGTTGTATTCATGCTTAACTTCATATGCTATCCTAAGCTTACTGTACAATTTTCTAATTTAAAATTCGGCTTGGATAATAAAATTATTATGACAGTAATAAAAATTGACAAGCAAAGAGTGTCTTCGACTTATTGGAATGAAGCAGTAATAACCTAGAACAGAAAGATGATAAAAAAGTTGAGCAATACACCTTTTCGATCAAAAAGGTGTACATCGTAGGTAGCATTGAAACGTTACTGGAGAGGACATTGTCCTTACAACGAACTTACAACTGTTAACAAGGCAACGGCGACCAACAAGATAGAGGTCAGAATGAACAATCACAAAAACTATTTAGATACATATTGAACTGAAGTTTATCACCACCAAGGTTAAACAGCATGAAAGCAAGCATTTTCATACAAAAATTCATATCACAAATACATTAGCCATGCAGATTTCCATAGAAATTTGATCGGTGATCGTAAATAGGTGTTGTTTTTATTACCAACTTAAAAATCTGGCATTCATTTGTTGATTGCATCCAGCTACTGTCCAGACACTAACATTGTAGGCATGACTTTAGCAATGATAAGGGAAAGCTTAGGATCAGGAAGCAAATCCTCTCAATCGTTGTACCTTTGGAATCTTCGAGAATATCAGAACTGTTTTATCCGTAGAAACGACAAGAGTAAAAACAGCTTTTCTAGGTGGTATTAAGGACGGATATGGGTGCTAGAACCATCTGCAAAAGGTAGAATCTGAATTAAGCATTCACTGTAGCAGTTTTGGAGGCAATAGTATAATGGAGAGGGTTGAAAGTGACGATCAACATACCTAATTGAAAAGAATTGATTTTGGGTCCATATTTGACAGTTGTGCAATATGACGTAGTACATCTTTTTTCGTTATGATACCGAGTAGTTTTCTGCAAAAATTTCAAACAATGACAGTTTATTCCATGCAAATGTTCAAAGAATTAAACCAAGAGCTTCCCCTTTGCCAAATAAAAACATTTAGTCTAATATCTATACACGATTTTGCGCGAACAAGCAGAAACGTGGTATGCAGCAAAAATATGCACAAAATTGCAAGAAGTAGACGTGAAACAGTATGAATTTTAGCGCAAGTTTAGAGTTTGAATTGAAGTGAATCCCGGAAACCAGTCTCAAGATAGACTGAAAGCATCCTATTCTAGGCCTACATAAAAACAACTCATAGCAGCTTCTGAATAACTTCAAGCTCTTGATGTTTTTGTATAATTAAGAAAATTAGCAAGTGGCGTTAATTTTCCTAGAAAGATTTCTTAGAAACTTAGAAACTTAAAATGGTGAAAAAATCATCATAAAAATTCACTTGCCAGATTGAACAGGGTTTTAAGTTTTGTCACTGAATATACCTTAGAAATTTAGATGTTCAAAAGCAACAAAATTTTGCTTTTTCATAATCATTTTAAACAAACTACAATTAAAAACCTGAGAATTGCTAAATCGAGCAAAAATTTTGGGAAAAACATTTGCAAACATGTAAACAAGCTGGGAAATGACGTCACACAATGACAAAAAACTTACCCATTGTGCATTGCTAGCACTTGGCGTAAACCTAACTTGCGGAACATGTCTGTTACAGTTTCCATTGGCGTGGAATCAGTCACTGTAAAGGGGCTCTACAATTGAAACCACAAAACTATTATGACGGAAACTTTTAATTTGTTTCAAGCTCAATCTAAATTATATATCGTAAAAATTCAATTGAACCCCCCTCTCTAAAAAGCCCCCTCTCTAAAAAGTCTCTCGGGGCTTAATCTAATTACAACGGCACTTATACCGTTCAGAAGTAACTTAAAATCCGTGCTGAAAACAGTTAGTACACCAAAAAACGTTTTTTGGCTCACTCAATTACAATGTCCCTAGGTTTCAACAGTCTTTAGTTTCTTCAAGTGAGATCTTGGATAGAAAAACGTTGTGTTAACGTCTTGAAAAAAACCCGACGCTTTACAGGAGGAAAGGTTTAGAATTATGGTACTTTAGGTAAGGATTGTAGCAAGTCTGAGTATACAGAGAACAGTTGTTTGTGGGAATTCAATCTAAGTATACAAACGATTTCTGTATAACGGCACTGCGATATAACGTTGAAAAAAACAAACAGACCATTACTGAAAAACATGCTTTTTCTCCAATAAAACAGGCATTGTTACTATCAAGATAATTTCATTCAAGATAAACCGGGACCTCGATCAAAGTAAGTAATTCACTTTACGTTTTCTCCAAAAACAGAAAAAAACAGCAAACCAACGGGAACTTGCAATTTCAAGCTTTAATCCTCTACTTACCACATCAACTATGTGCCTGAGGCTAACAGGAGCCGGTCCACTTGGGCTTAGTTCTCCGGGCGGATTTCTACCAAAGTAAACCGGCGATGCAGTGACCGTGTTTTCGTTCAAAGTTCGCACATGTTCTATAAGATATAGCAAAACACATTCAGAGAACAGATTGGGGTTTACTATAACCTTAACTATCTACTAACAAAAGTTCTTAATTCTTCGGATACAATATGTAGGGCTGGGGTTGACTATCGTCTAATATGGGTTCTTAAGTATTCGAATAAGGTTAGGGCTAATACGAAAGCGCCTCGGAGTAGCCTCAAATGAAAATTGATGGTATCAAATCCCTCCATAAAAGGGAAGTAACTTAAAATAATTTCAGTCAGCAACTAAACTGTGCAGATGAATTTTTGGAGTGCAGTAATGAAATAACCAATATTGGGGTTTTAAGACTGAGATCCCCAAAGAATTGCTATTGGAAAAATTTATTGAGGTACTTCGTAGACAACAATCAATGACTGGCTGAAAACTAACAACGGAAATTGATCCTAAAGAAAAGACAGCATGAATAGGCTTGCTGCAAATGCAAGTGGGATGAAACCAGTTAATTCAGTGAAAAATTGGAATCTGATCATATAACATCAACACCTACGGGAAAATGTAAGTCGATCACGGAGAGATGGCCTCTAGTGTTCAAGGAAACGATGACAGAAATTTCTAATTTTTAGGGCGCGCTTCCACTGAAAATAATACCTGTGCAACTATGGTGATGCAAGAATGTGGCGTGTTGAATTTAATTTCCCAGGTACCACCAATCAGTACAAAAGGATTATACAAACTAAACTTAATGTTATCCAACAAACACACAAATACTTCAAAGTACGTTTGAAAGAACCAGGTACGTACTTAATACGAGTTTGAGGTCTCTTCTTGATATGAATCCACAAAGAATTTGTGAGCTCGAATCAACAATCAACGGAAAACCATTAAAGGCTGTTTCCTCCAGCAAATTCTCTGAAATGAACAGAACGAATGAGCATCAACAGGTTTTCTTTATAAAAAGTTACAAAAATGAGATCTCGAGCAAAAGAAAAATTATAAAGTCATTAAAAGAACTATTAACCATACAATTTCTGGTTGTGAAAGATCTTGACAGTCTATGTCCTCTATTTCTTTCATTTGTCATAATAAAAAATATTACAATTGATCAATTTCCCTCCATGTTCATTATCACTATTAATCCTTATCTATTTTCTCTTTACTTGACATACTTGTACATTGATGCACCAATTCATTTATTAAACTACCGATTTATTAATTGACACTATCATTGCTTCATTAGTGTATTAAAATCTTTAATTCTAATTTCAGAAAAAAACTTATTGGCTTTATTCACTGGCTTTAGAAAAATGAAAAAATTCCTAAATACGTTCAAAGTCAATAATCAAAGTCTTAATCGCGTCATTTTTATCACATGAATATTTGATTGATTTCTTAAAATTGAATTAAATCTCAGAATTTTCATTTCATTTCGTATATTGTGCTAGTGGTATGAAAATATAAACATGGGTCTTCAGTGTAAGCTTTTGAAGCTATTTCTGATTTAAAAAGTAAATATGTTATTGGTTATGTATCCAGCAGAAAATATAAAGCTGTCCATGGCCTTATCAATCTATTTTTATAGACTCAAGAAGGAAAATCGTTTCTTCTTTCCTATCAAACAAGAAAGCTAGCAGGCCCATTCAAATAGATTTAAAAAATTAAAACTACCTAGATCACCGATGGTTAACCCAGACTTTGGAATACACTTCAAGGGTACTGAGCCTCTCCTTCAAAATAAAATCGTAAAATTAGAAGTTACGAGGCATGAAAATAAAAGTTAGCTGCTGAGATGCAACTTCTTAGAAAATCTCTCTGAACACCAGGAGTACTTGCATATCGCATCCGAGAGATAAATTCGTGGGAACTGAATGCAAAAGGTATCACTACGAAATTATGCAACTGGGATATTTTTTGGTTTTATGGAATTGTCAATAGACTACATCGTTTATTTCAAAACAGCTGCAGTTAATAAAAGCCTAGTAAACTTCTCAGATCCAAAACCTGAAATAAAGCGTCTTGGTAGTATGGGGTCATTAGAACTCAATTTTGTGAATAGAAACAAACTCAAAAAATAGAACAAACCATGTGATAAAGGATAAACGGGAAGTACGAAGAATCAAATACAAAATAGAATGGTAATTAAAGCTCAAAAGTAGGATTGTGATTACAGATTACAAACCTCGGTCGCATGACATCAGATGCGAGAGTGGTGTGAGTAAACTCCTCTTTGTGATCCAAGAACGGGTATCCGTTAAGATGGATGTGTCCATCATATCTAACATGCTGTTAAGGTGGTAACTACACCATATTTGCAAAAATATTCAGAAATAAGGCTTTGATAGTTCAAGACTATCGCCAAATGTAGCACTTCATTCCAGATTATGACTGTTGAACTCAAGCTCCCTTTCCCCCACGTTTCTTCTATATGTAGATATATTGCAACATTGGCAGTATCTTACTTGAAAATGGCTTTGAAAAAAGCAAACATTAAGTAAACTAAAGCTTTTCGTCTGACACTCTTCAGAGTTTAAAACGTCAGAACAGAAGCTCGATAAAAGTCTAGCGAAAAGCCCATTTTACAAAGAGGATAGGCTTGGAAGAAATAGGAGCTTGGGGCTGAAGCCCCCCCCCCCTAATCAGACAAAATTCATTGACTTTCAGGCCCATTCGGACAATTACATCGCAATAAAGCAACAACAATATTCAGGCAATACCCATAATAAACCTCTCTAAACGTTACGCCTCCGCTACGCCCATGTCAAAGACAATTCTTGACGTATTGCATTAACGACAGTAATCTGCCCAGACAAGGAACTTGATCTGTCTGGTTGAGCCTTATTCAGCCGGGTCTTTAGTAAGATTGGAAAATCAAACAACTTCGCTTTTTTAAAGCCATTAAATACCTGGATTAGTCAAACAACGAAAGCAAAGTTTACTCAAGCTAAATGAAGCATTGAGTTAAAAAATGCAAGGAATTAATAATCTTAAAACTTAAGGCAACTTTGGATGAGGTCAATTTGCTCTATAGTGGCTGTTGAGTCGTTTTGGAGTATGTTAAACAGGTCTCTTATGATCCACCGTAGTAATTCATTCAAGAATCGAAAATAAAACAAAAAATGATTACTTGATCAATGTAGGAATTTTTTTCTAAATTCTAATTTGAATATATCATTTAAAAAATATAAATGAAATAACAAAGGATACATTCCCTCTTTAATGATGGCGTCGCCAACCCATTTACTTGTCATTATAGCAACCATCAATGGTACAATGTAGGTAAGTCCACCAGTGAGTTCGAACATAATGACTACAAGTGAAACTAAAAAAGAAAATACATTTATTGCTTTACTGTGTTTATTTTGACCAGTCATTAGAGGTAAGTCATTTCCGTATTTACTGTGAGCCGAAATCAACTAAAACGGTTTAAAGCTACCGAGATTCCCGGGTCCTAGACTAGGGAGCCGGTACGTAACTTTGAAATTACGTCATATACAACATAAATAATAGTATCCGGCTAAATCAACCAACCACTAACCGAGTTCCGGTACCAGAATAATCAGTTTACCAAAATTCCCACTACAAAACTCTAAACCATACTTATCAAAGCCAGAGACAGCAAAACGTTTCTACGAGGTATACCTTTCAAGGGGAAGGCTATTCACTCGACACATGACCGATAAGTATTGTTTTACCTGTCATTCTGGTGACTCCACCTAACACTGCTGCAGCTCCAACCATTGCATAAAGGCCAGGAGTCACACATCGTTGCAAAGAACGATCACATTCATTGAAGAACGGCGAATCAAGATAAGAACTGCAACGAAATAAAAAGAAAATGTATACTGGGAGAGGTTGTAATTATTGTAGAGGAAGGATAGCATGCAAGGCTAGATAGCGCTTTAACACCAACTTTCAGTATGTATCTCAACAAACAGGCACGATTTAGCTTTTATATGGCTTTTTTTAAATATGGTTTTCCAATCTTATCAAATTACTTTGAATAACCTTGGCTGATCATGTCAGGTTATCATTTCGAAACGAAAAATTCTTGAAGCAGCTTGGTGTTGAAAAAATAATAAAGGAGATTTCTTTCGTGTATCAAAGATATGCCTGCAAGCATTTCTGCGTATCCTTTGTTAAATTTTCCTTGTAGACATTTATTTTGTGTAAATTGTATTTACAAACGCGCTATTACTAATTTTAAACCCACAAGCTACTGCATTGCTGTTTCTCGCCATACACTTCATTACGTCATCTTGTACGTGTTCAGATATTGTATGATTAAGTTTGATATAAAAATATCTTTCAAAAAGTCATTAAATTGATAACATTGAGCCAGTCTGTGTTGCATCAGCATGGCCGGAAATGCCACGTGGTCGAGCCTGATTGCCATAACGTTGTATTTTGTGAGGAATATCACATGTGTAAACCTGGAGTCACAAATACAAGGCACAGATGGTAGTCACACGGGCAACGACCGTGAAAATGGCAGGTTAAAGCGAAAGAAACCGAGGAAGTTCCAAAGCCACAGTATTCACACCTTGACGATAATGTTCTGAGTAGGGGTGTACCGGATCAGGATTTTCAGAATCCGGCCGGAACCGGATTTACCGGATTTCTTCGTGGAATATCCGGCCGGATTCTACCGGATAATCTGACCATTTATAGAATTTTCAGTAAAAAAGTTTTGAGCCACTTTGCGAAAAAATGTATAGCGAGAAGATCAAAGAGACCTATTCAGGGTTGCAAGATTGAATTTACAAACGAAGGCTAGACTGGTGAGCAATTTAAGCCAAAATGCTCATAAAAAGGCCAAATCAAAAACTCTCTCAAGAATCCATCGAGCAGGCACTGGTTATATTTCTACGCTTGTGCCTGTTAGATAATTTCTTAACTTTGATAAGAATCTTACTTTTTTCCAAAACCCTTTGCTAATATCAAGATAATATTTAGGTTAGGTGATAAAATTTGAAATTTGGTTAACACTTTGTAGTTAACTACTAATTATTCTATGAATGTAGTAATTACTTATTAATTTTGGACGTCTGCTGAAAAGGCAAACAAGGTCAAATTCAAGTAGTAAGCAAAAAACAATTTTTCCAGGCAATCTAAACCTAAAAACCAAAAATGAAAAATTTGGCCTAAAAAGCCGATCTGGCAACCCTGGACCAAATCTGTGAATTATATCATCCAGTCTTCCTGTTTCGTGATGACGAGCACTTTCATTTCAAATCTGTTTTCAAGGCGCTTGTTTTATCGTCGATATTGTTTAGTTCTGGAAAATCCATTTTTAATCACTGTATGAAGGGAGTCTGACTTGGTTTTCCAAATTTTCTTAGTTTTGAGTAAAGTTCTGGAAAATCCGGCAACTGGCCAGATTTCGGAAACAAATCCGGCCGGAACCGGATTTTAAAAAAATCAGCGATCAGGCGCCGGATTATCCGGCCTACCGGATATCCGGTACATCCCTAGTTCTGAGGAAAGAGAGACACGTTACCTAATCAGGGAGGGGGGGTTGGGGATTGGACTGCAACCCTCCCAGCCCCTATGTCTCATTCGGGTATGCCTGACGTCAAATAATAAAAAGAATGCACATGTGCTGAGGTGCTAGGGATAAGGTGAGGTTTCGCTATATCTCAGTTCAAAATTTCATTATCGCGGAATTTCAGGGGTACACACAACCTCTTATCAGAGAATAAGGCTAATTAGATTCTTATCAGGAAGCAGAATTGTGAACACTTTAAAAAAACTTACTATGTTAGCTGCTCCATACCAACGCCAACGATCCTGCCAGCGCATGCTCCGATGGCTAGACTTGGTATAAACAACCCCGCAGGAACCTGAATACATAAGAGATGAACTTAGAAGCAGAAAAAAGCATAGCAGGTACACTTCTTGGATAAGAATAACAAATCTATCTAGCACTTAAGACTCAGAGATTCAAAAATTTCAAAAGCGCCGTGAAGGGGTGAAGAAAAAGATCCACATAATTAAGTATGGATACAATACATTATCTATAACCAGGAAAAGTCTGCGATTGGAGCATTTCTCTATAAAGAGTCGTAGACAAGTTTTTTGCTGAATATGACCTTCATAAGCCACTAGATTTAGGCCTGTAAATAAGTAATTTTCATCAATCTTCGCGTGGTTTGGAGATATATGCTTACAGTATTCTGATTATAAAACCTGCAGTCACACAAATATGCATACATCCATTCAACCACTAAAGGGAATGCAACAGCAACTACATGTTACGGCTTGAAACAAAATAGATTGGCTCAGGGGCCTACCTTCATTCCAAACGTGAATATCGTAATGAGGGTCTTGAAGATCATAGCAAGTGTAAGCTTCCAAAGGGCATCAATGACGCCAGGCCCGGCTTCAGAGTGAGGATAAATATCATTGTTGATATTCAGGGTTGTATTTGGCTTCAGGACATAGTCACTAGAATAACAGCATTATATACAATCATAAGAATAACACCAAAAAGCAATAGAGGAGCTTATACTCATACAAAATCTTGTTATATATTATTTGCAAATTTAAAAATCAAAGAATTGGTAAAAACAAGGTAGGAATAGTCTTCTTCTTGAAAAATTCCTTGGATCTTTCTGTGTCAAATTTCTGTCAGTTATCTTTCTTGCATTGCATTAAAATCTTTCCAAACTCTGAAGGCCTTGTAAACAGATAAATAGTTCAGCTGACACCATGACATATCGAAAATTGATAATATGAATAATCAGTAACATCACTGAATATAGAGAAACGACAGGTAATATTGACAGGTAAAAATAAATTCATGAGAGGTTAATTTGTCTGATATTTAGGCCAACTGACCTATCTGAAAGCATAGTTCTGTTACATCATCAAAACTTATTTGCATGGCTGATATTGGAGGTCGTTAAAAAGATTCAGAATACATACTGCGAAACTTTCTAAATAGCAAAGTGAAATTAGAGCATGGGTTGGGATGAAATGATTTAGCCAATATCTTGATAAAAACAGAAGAAAAGTAGCGTACCATAAAGCTGAGCCGTCTTCTGGTCCACATCGTCGAAATAACTGGTATATCAGTCGACTTGAGCTAAGCCTACAATAAATTTATGAAAGAAAATAACGCTAACATTCTAAAAATGCAACAAAAGTCAGCAGTGAAGTGCCCAGAGACGATGTGTAATGTGTTTGTAGATAGTGAGGCAAAACACACGAGAACGGTCCAATTGGCCTAATTCTAGCTGTGAAGCGTGTTTGTTGTTAGAATCTTTTTTGCTGATCGGCCAATACTGTTGTAAGAAAAAGAAATACTAGGATCTCTCAGCAGATCAAGATTTGATCACTATGATCTCAGGCATGATTTATATTTCAGCAAGATGTGGACTGAAAAAAACTCTCAGGAAGGATGCAGACCTTGGCTGAAATGTAAAGTTAAAAGGAGGCTGATTCGAGAATAGATTTGAGGTATCATATCAATAGAGGTACTCTCTATAAAAATCCTTCACTATAAGGATTTTATACTACATTGTTCAATATTATTCAATATTATACCTTGTGTATTCGTTTGGATATGCAAATAATGCAGTTATTACAGCCACGGAGAGAACCTGCCGAACAAAAAAAGTAAAAATCGGATTTTCAAATCGTTGCAGCCAGCCTTGTCGTCCAAAAATCAGAAAAAAACAAAATATAAAGATACAGAGGGTTCAGTTGAATGCGCTTTAGATTTTGAGAGAGTGGCCTTTTGGCATCTTTCTTAGCATATAGTAAGATACTGCCAATGTTGCAACACATCTACATATAGAAGAAGCGTGGGGAAAGGAAGCTTAAGTTCAACAGTCATAATTTGGAATGAATTCACAAATAACTAAAAAAAGAGCAGAATTAGCCTGGGAATAATTAAGTGGAATTTACTAGATGCATGGCCTTGAAAATTGGATACACAACTAAAATAACCCTATGATAAAAAGGCTACTATTGCGCAAATTAGTGAACAAAACTTGAATTGAAATCTTTTTACCTATGTTGATTTAAAAAAAATAATTTCCTTATTAAAAAGTGACTGACATATCAAGTATTAAAAACGACATATCACTTTGCAAGATAAAACATTGTTGATTTATTTAGCTATTTACTTGTTATATATTTATTTATTCATACATTCTTTTTTTTATCTAACACTCACTTCAGTGATCGGATATTTTCCAAGGATGGTTGTCTTGCGTAGTTTTGACCAGTAAAGGTTACATTTAATAAACAAAGCTCCAACAAGACCCTAAAAAAAATAATTTATATGTCGAAAACTTGAGATCAATTATACAAAAATGAGGGTTACGCAAGATGGGGGTATATACTGCTTAGAATTGGTTACTCGTAGCTACACAGGTTCATATAAACATGTTGGTAAAGACTGGTATACAACATTCCTTTAGGGAACATTAGCAGAAAATATTCTTCCTTCATCTTTTTAGGATGAAAACAATTTTTTAAATATTTTTCATCGCATAAGAAATTTCCAAAAAAAACACAAAACCACAGCAAGCATACTACCGAGAGAAAATTGTAAATATCTACCTGATAGCCATTCCAATAAACAAATAAAAGAAAAGTGGTACAAGATAGACAGAACAAAAATACAGAATCGATACAAAGGCACTCCTATTTCGTGTAAGAGCTCTTTTAATCAGAGTGTGGGACTGAAGCCAGGCTAGAAAACGAAAATATGCCAATTGCATTGAAAGAGAAAAACAAGCAAGAGTGTTCATTAACTAATCTGACACGCAAAACAAGTCTGGTGCAAGTTCTGGCAATATTTTTCTTATCGGTTGCTTATGAAGAATTTCATCCTTAAAGACACCAGCTGTTAAGGCCTAAACAAGGAACTTTGGCATCTCTCAAGCACAAGAGATGTAAGCTCTTAAAACTACGAAGGAATACATTAGCGTACCCCAAAGATTCCAAGAACAATGAAAGGAACCAGTTCAAATATCTTCCATGGCGTATTGTACTGAACATAGAACATCACAAGACGTCCATTTCCATATGGATTCATGTATCCCAGAGTCAATGCTGCCATGAGGGCGCAAAAGAATGTCCTCCATAGTGTCTTCATCGGGAAGTAGTAACTTACCTGAGAAAGATTAAAAACATTTAAAAAAGAAGGATTGAAAGATTATCTAAACTTCAAAAAAACTTGTGGGGTTTAACTAAGATTTCAGTTCTATATGGTACTAAAGACCAATCGCTTATTTTCTAGATGGAGGGATGTTTTAAGGATTTAGGTATTTTGGTAGTTGGGTATTTTGTGCGTAATAATAAACAGGCTGTTGCGGCATGTTATCTTCATCTGTGTACTTTAAAAAAATTTTAACATGTTCCTGGGAAATCATGTAGAAATCATAAAAAGGAAATGGAAAAAAGCGATGGAAATTGGCAAAGAGTCGGTTTGCACAATCTGCAGCTAAAATTAATGTACAGCAAAAATCTGCGAACACCTATAAAAGTCTATAGACTAAAAAGAGGCATTTTAGACTGCTTTAATGACTTGTTTTTCTTAATCTCAGAAGGGGTTTCTCACTTAAATGATTGAGTATACGCAAGTTCAATTTACAATTCTCAGTATAAATAGCAGCGGTGCAGCCCAATCAACTGAAAAATTAATTAAATCAAATAAAAAGCCTTGATTCTCCAAATAATGACATATAAGACTTCTTAAAAATGCAAATAGAAAGTAAATGCAAATAAGTACTAAAGCCTTAATCTTTAAAAGCTATTTTTTCAACGACAAACTGCCTTGGATAAACCGACAAAATATAGCTGCGTAATCACTGTACTTAAATGCGGGCTTGCTTGAAATCAAAAGACGCATAAGCTTTGATTCCACTGGGGAGGAGAGGGGGGGTGGTTCGACTTAGATTTCGATGAACAACTAGTCAATGAGCGACAAAGAGAAACGCTCTTAGGGGCAGGTGGGCATTAATTGACAATCATATTTTTGCAATAGAACATGCAGAGCTTGAAGCTCCATAGCCATGTAATTTGAAACAACGGCTAGCAAGGCAGAAAAAGTTCCAATAGAAAGCGTGGATTTTTATTCACAACACGAACAAGACAGATGGAATATAAACAATAGAAAATTAAAATCTTTCAAGTAAATAGCTAATTTTAATATTAACTGGTGATTACAATACAAATCATAATTGAAGGACCCTTTGAAGACCATCCCCTGAATAATAAACAAAAAAGGGGATAGGACGGATATGATGCACACATCTGTCTGATGCTGTCTAGTTTCACACGCCAAGAAAGCAGCAAACAGTGATATTTTTTAAAGCAATTCTAATCTTTCTAAGAGTCGATTTAACCAAAGATATAAAAAGAGACAAATTTGGGCGGAGCATATAAAAAATTATAAATAGGCGTGACATTATTCAAATTACGACGAAAAAGCGTACTTTGAAAACTTTTTCATGAAATTTGATCAAGAGGTTTTCAAGGAAATCTGACAAGCAATCTACTTGGCGATCCTCCAAATCAAATTAAACTGAATATTTCTATTTTTCAGGTTTTCCCTTTTCATAAAAAGAGTAAGATAATGGACACCTAAGACTATATGCTCATTTATTTAAAAAAATGAAATAAATTATACGAAATGGCAAAAGAAAGCAGAGATAGCAGAGATAAAAGACCCTTAAATTATTTTCGTCCGACACTCAGAATACCAAACGTCAGCAAATAATAGGCTAATTTGACTGAAGTAACTTCTTTTGGTTACCACCTGAAATTTAAAATAGTACAACACAGACAAAGTAAATGATACCATTACTGCCTTAAAATTTCCTTTTTATATATAAGCCCAAAAGCCAGAGGCGTTGTGGCTCCTAGAAGAGGGCCGGGGAAAATAACGCTTAAGGGGCCCAATTTAGTTTTTTCCAGAAAACAATTTTTTTGCTATTCGTGCAAAGAGGACAGTTGGGTAAAAAAGCATAAATAGTAGTGACACAATAACACAAGTGGACGCGCACAATTTTGAAACTGGAAGAGGGGAGCTAAGAATCAAGTTTAGTGACATGGGAGGACCCACCATGGTTGGGTCCGATGGGGAAAATGTTTTTGAAATTAAGCCTTCTGGAATGGCATCTCCTAGACTAAAATCTAACAAATTATTATACCGCTCAGAATAGACAATTCGTCGATTCTCACACAAGCATTGGATATTGATATTTAGGACAAATTTGGGAGGGGATGGTTCATGCTAAAACTCTAGTGACAGAGCTGGGGAAAGAAAGAAAGGGTGACATTTGGTTCAGAGTGCACATCAATGTCAATAACAAGAAGCTGTTGTACTAATTGAGAGAATTTGACTGCTGGAACAGAAATGTGCATCTTCTTTGTCTCGAGTATTTTCAGTAGGCCGTGTTCACACATTCAAGTAATTTACTGAATCGATGCAAATAATAGAGAAATAATAGAAATAAACAAAAATAAGGTAGCAAAAAGATCAAATAATCAAGCAGTATATAAACTGTTTGTTCTCTTTTCATTACATACTCTGTTTTTAAAAGAGACAATCATTTCTTGGAAAATTCTTCGGTCAACTTTTGCTGAACTGGAGATCTTTGAAAGGGCATTTTTATCATATGCAAGCAACCCTTCAATTTTTTTGAAGCTTTGAGGCTCAAATGCAGCTAGATCTAGCTATATCTCTTTGCTTTTTGGGAATCTCGTACAGAAGACTTTTAAAGTCACAATAAATGTTGCATAAAAAGTTGTGGCTGGAAGCAGAGCTTGACTGGAAATCAGGCTAAATTTAGCAGCTTATGATGTTGAAATAAAATGGTATGCGAATTAAGCGGAGTGACTTTAAGAGGAATCTATTTCAACCTCTTAAATAGCCACACCGACTTGAATACCTGGGGCAGTCCTCTTCAGCTTTTATAAACGCCTTCTAGTACAGGTTCCAAAAAAAAAATATCTAAAAACTGTCTAATTAATAGGCCTCCAAGTGCCAATTCTTGAATCCACAGTATTCTCAAAAGCAAAGCCCCTTCTATCAGGTCGCCCAACCCTCATTCTAGCTGGTAATCTTCTGTTTGACCTTCAATCCTTCCAAATTCCAAGCACTACATTCACAGGCCCCTTTATATTTAAGTTTATCTCCAAATCTCTAGTTCATTACTATAAGTTTTATATAGATGAGAGATTATTTCACAAAAGAAATAATTCCCTTTATTTACAAATTATTCACAAATTTTTCACAAAAAATTTTTCTTTCCTGGGTATTACAAAGTCATTTGAAAGAGACCTACCAGGAAATCTCCGGGTGTCCCGTCTAGCTACAACGCCCCTGCCAAAAGCATAATGGAAAATTTAACAGGAAAAGCATAATCTGCTTGCTACTTACCTCCTCCAAGCTGAAAAGCACACCGCCAATTGGAGCACCAAAAGCAACTGAAACACCAGCAGCAGCTGAGGCTGATATGACCTGGAGAAAAAAGTCTCTAGTATATTAATCAACAAAAATTACATCTATACCTTAAAAGAAAAAAGTATTGTATAGAAATAAAGTCATAATTAATAGTATAGTGCTATAGTTTGAGATCGGTTGATCATTTTATAACAGTGTCATTAATTTGTAGCAGATCAAGCAACTCCCTTCTGTTCAAAAACATGCCACTAGCCAAAAACCTCAACTTAGCACTGTTTTTTCTATTTATAAGCATAAACATATATAAAGCCATATTTAACGCTATACTTAAAGATCAAGTTTCTTTCAATAAATTACGAAAACCATCTAAACTCCTTGGGCTATTTATTGTTGAATATCCTTTATTGCAAACTACTACACAAACTACTACACAGCATAACAACAGACAATTGGGCAAATATTGGTGGACAGAACTTTGGTTTCTCAATTAACAAATATTTTATTGAAGCAACTGCCCCAACCCTAAGTCTCTGTAACTGTTTGATGTTAATGATGCTAAAACTAATCTCACCTCTCTTTTCTTTGCTTCATTTGAATTATACTTTGGAAAAAGCCTTACTAAAACATTGCCAATACAACATGCAACATGAACAAGTGGGCCCTCTTTTCCAAGACTGAGTCCAGAAGAGACTGCTAAGATCAAAGTCACTGTCTTTATAACTAAAGTCCAATATCCAAGGTAGCCTTTTATTATAAATCCACCCAATATTGTCTTGATCTGAGAATTAAGAAAAAAACAAATAGAATGCGATGTCATCAAAAATCGATTTTTTAAAATTTAGAATTCTGACCACCTGGGAGAACATCCAAAAAGCCTCTAGCCATACAAAAACAATTGAGTCTGTTAAAAATTGACTGGGATATGGCCAGTTGAAGACATAGGTTTTGCTAATGGATTACTCTTTGTTGTTTAATGCGTGCGATCGCACGCGCACGCATCGGCACACGCATGGCACCAATAATGAGAGCGATTGATCGCACGCATGAGTTGTATATTTGACCGTCGTTTTTGACCTGAATAAAATTGTTTTCTTCAACGAAACATTGGAAGTTTTGTCTTTCCTAAGCTGAGCAACATCGGCTTATTTTTTAAATAGTGACTATTTTGCTCTCTATCATGGCTTATTGCTTTGCTTTGTTCAAATTCTCCCGGAAGCATGGCGGTCGCCAGATAGTGTCCAAAACTTTTTCCTTCCCGTTTTCGCCATTATCGAGGTAAATATCGATGAAATTGCTCGAAAGAAAATGGGCTTTTTTATCATAGATGCGAGAGGCAGGCGGCGAATAGACTCGCAAAAAGAAGATCTTCCGACAATCAAGGTTAATATCAATCTAGTGATGTATATAGGAAAATTCATAAAAGGGGCGAGAAAATTTAAATTTTTCGACAAAAATCTTATAAGACCTCTATTTTTCAAAATTTTGTACATAACTTCACGTAAGTCACGTGTCATAAATCATACTACTCAAAGATTTTTCTTGTCTTTTTTCTGAAAAAAGGCATTTTTAAGTTCTATACCTTATTGAAAGAGATTGCAAATCTGATTTAGAACAACAGAAGAGATCACTATATTCAGCTTTAAAATCTTTTCTCTCAAAATGTAACATTTGGATTCAAATTGACAACTATGCAAATTTCCGATCAAATCAGAAGTTTTCCGACAAAACAGCAGTTTAGCTGTACTGGGGGGGTCGCCCCACGCCTTGACCACCCTCTATCTACGCCACTGTATCAATGAATATTTCCCTATAGTTTGTCCTGTAATGTCGAATGTTCTCGGTATGAATAAAGCAGAAACACTCAAGCTCTCTGCAAATTTCCCCAGAGCCTCGAGGTGTATGGAGCCTTATAAAGTAATGAATTCTGTTTTGAAATAAAATTGATTAAAAGTAACAAAATTATGCCTATAAGCAGTAAAACATTTTAAGCGAATGAAAGGGGCACGATTGCAAAATTTTCTGCTCGCTTCACTGGCAGGGGCCTTATTCTCCACTTTTGCCTCAGGGCCTCCAATTCTCTAGGCAGCCCTGCGTGCAAATTTGGAACCGTGACAAAACGGCCGTGGTTCACCCTTTCGTTTGCGCTAGCACTCTGGAACAGAGCTAATTTTGCTCTGCCATCCGGAATGGTTTTGACCCTGTTACAAAAGAGAACAAATTTTGTACCGTCGCGGTTCCGTTTTTGAACAGGACTGTGTAAACGGGGTCCGAAATAGCCTGATTCGCACGCATGAAAGAAATAATGCGTATGGTTTGCCACACGCATGGTAATTTCCTTATGACAAAGACTGTGTTGTTTAACAAATTACAGAAATTCGATAGAACCTGTCCTTACGTGGCAATATCTCAGTATAAATGCAACAGATTTAACTGGTTTTGCACATTTAGAGGTACTTTTTGGTGTTCTTTTGGGTTATGGTTTGAGAATACCAAAAATTGAATTTCTTAATGATATCAGTTTGCCATTCTTTTAAATAACTTCTATGCAAGTGTGCTTCAAACATTCCAAAAATACTAGAAAATCATCCAATGAATCATCTTGCTCTTGAATATTAACACATACTGAAGAAAGCTCCTTAATACCCTTCCACGAACCACCAACCCAAACTCAAACAATACACTTTCCTTATGACAACTCAAACTTCCATTGATCAGACTATGATACAGACAATGGTGAGGGTAACACAGGAATAATTCTGTCATTTTGTCAACTTTAAGCGTGTTGTAGAACCTAGGGCTAACCCTGCATAACGAGGCATATTGCCTTTAAGAAAGGTTGTTGCACAACACGTGTCTCTTCAATGCCACAAGTTAATATTACTTGAAATAATTATCCTTTTTCTGAAAATTTTGTAAACATCACAATGTTTTCCAAGAAACTGAAAAATATAAATATTATGATACTGAAAAAAGTTATGATAACTTTGTAATTATCTTGCTTCTTTCAAAATAAAACATGAAGTGAATACCCTAAAACTAATTGTAGAAAAAAAGGACTAGAAAGGGGTTTCTCACCTCTGGTATTCCACTTCCACAAGCATATGGTGCAAAGAACATTACCAATACAACAGTCATAAATGCAAACAGGAAAGCAAAAAGGACATAGAAAAAGTAGTTGAGGATGTAGCTATCTTGGGCCAAACCCAGTACACTAGACCAGGACTTCCACTGGGGACAACCAGCTTCAATTCCAAACTTGCTACTGACTGTCCAGCAGCAGGCTTCTTTATTGAACCAGAACTGATCCGTGCAAAAACCTTCTTTGATATCTGACATCCAGTCTGCACCAATATCAATTACTCCAGCTGCAAAACCAGTCAAAACACCAACTATAAAAACAACCAGCCAACCAGACCATGCATCGTGGAAACCCTAAAAACAGTATATTATACTTTTCTTAGTCTAAAGTTCTTGCTTTGAAAATCTCTTTAATATAAATTCTACTGCGAAGACTGTGGTTCCTTCTGAAGCTTCAAAGAAAACCTTCATGAAGTGTTTGGAGAGGAACGATGTAAGAAAGAAACAGTAGACTCCGGTTATAGATGACACCTAATGATGCTTGAAAATTTGTGACTGTAGATGGAGTTTGACTGTAAGCAGAACTAAATTGAATAGCTTTGCATCCTTGGGTCTACATTTTTGTGACAGTAACACGTTGTGTGACATTAAGTGGAGTGACAATAAGCGGAGTCTACTGTAACTACAACAGTATGAGCCTTTTTTAGATGGAGAAGGTTAAAGAACTGGAAAAGGAAGGTCAATTATGAGACTTAACAAGTGTGAAGGCAATAAAGTCTAAAAGGGTATAATCATGTTAATTTAAAGGTCATTAGAAAAATGGAAAATCTCAAAATGATTACAGTTTTTTATCTGAAATATTTTTCAGATGTGTCAGAGAGTAAGGTAAGGTTACATGTGATTTACTCTTTTGGTAGCTTTCTTCTTTACCTAGTGATAAAAGAGGCATTTTTGTCAATTCACAAATAAATAGCCATCAATACTACAATACTGAGTAACTATGCAAAGTGAAAATGATGTATATACAACATTCAATATTTGGATGACATATTTGAGGAATGAAATATCTGGTCTCTAGCACACACATTTTTTTAAAATTTAACAAATATATATATTTATATATCACCTTTAGTTTCTCAAGCCATGATCCAGTCATTTTCATTTTCTTCATTTGACGGAATCTCATTTTGTCTCTTGCCTTGTCTCTGCACCAATCTATAGTATGAAAGTCGTCATATTGTCCAAGACCTTCCATTTCCGATGCCTTCCACCACATATCCTTGTCATAGGCAGGCTTTCGCCTAATATGAACAGGACTTTGGAGTTCCTCATCAATGTAATCATTATGGTCTGACGAGACCAAAACATCCTCGTCATCCTCAAAAATACTCTGATCTATTCTAGCACCTATAGCAAAGTCCGCGTGTCTGTTACTTACCGGACTTGCAGTTTCAGTAGATATGTCAACAGAATCATCTGATAACATCAAGTTATCCATTGGGATGTAAGTATTGTCACTAGATTGCCCTGTTGACTTGGTTCGAAAGACAGTCTTGAGAATCTGTGATAACATCCAAAAGAAACTGCGTGTGAATATGCTCCACGAGAAATCCCAATCAGTATTGTCCTGAAAGTAAACAAATGCATGAAGAATAAAGTTCCTTGTATCTTTAAGAAGTAGTTTCGTAACATATACAGCCTGTTCCCTCACCTCATCGTGTGCCAGAGTGATTTCAAACCGAGACTGAATCACAACAAGAGGCAATGTCGGTGTGGAAGGAATTTGCATGACCCCCCCTGGGGGGTGGGCTGAGCAATATATTGGGGAATTCATGATGGGTCTATTCTTGACAGAGGTGCTTCCATTCTGTGGGAGTTTAAAAGTTGTCCCCAAATTTTGGGGCTTCCTGGAAGTATAAGTTATTCTTTGGGTGAAATCGAATATCCCCTTGGGTAACATAACGCTCATCAACATCGTTTGGCAAATGGAACAAAGATAAATAGAAATGAGTGTTAGAAAAAAATTGCATGGAATGCGATATAAACATGCTTTGTTTTTTGTAGAGCTAGGAATGGCTACGGTAAGTATTTCATATTTTATTGATAGGAGGGTAATTCTGCCAAAGACGAGCGAACTAATAGTCTGGGCTGATAGAACATAAATTGTGCAAATTGTGATACCAGCATGAAAATGGGTACACTGGGGTAATTTCACACGCTGATAACGATGCCGAACAGACACAAGCCGTAAAATGCCCCCAAGTGCTATTTTTAGACTGGGGTACTTGGTCCTAGTCCTCAAATTGGGCCAATCTCCATATGTCATTAATGATTTGTAAAAAAGGTGTCCCCCTGGTAGGTAGCCCCTGTGTTTTCCAACCTTCAACAGGTAGTTCTTCTATGCTTTTCTTGAAGGCCTCTGAGAGCAGTAGTAGCAATCCAGTGATTTAATATTCACTTTATCTCATATTCATACCAAAAATAGTAATGATTTATAAAAGAAAGCTTGTAGAGGCTTGGGCTCCAGTAGTCCACTCTAAAAATAGCATCAAGGGTAATATTTTAATTGCTTCTGTGTTATACTTTTATCGTGTAGAATTGTGTTTAAAGCTATACCTTCGTGGTCATTTTAAACGTTAGTTAACTACGTATGGATGAAACCCAAAATAGAGGACTTGGGTCAAGTACCCCAGTCTAAAAATAGCACTTGGGGGCGTCTTTAAGCTTGTGTCTGTTCAGTATCATTAACAACGTGTTAAATTGCTCAAGTGTACCCAAGTGTTAATTTGCAAAATTCAAGTTAAATACTGTGCTTAAAGCCTAGACTATGAAGGTAAAACCCAATTTCGAGAACTGGGTTCCAGTACCCTATTCTAAAAATAGCATCAAGGGGTAAGATTGTCAATTACATCTTTTCGTATAACATTCCAGTTTGTTGAAATATTAGAGAAAGCTACATTTCATATTTATACAAAAGATAGTAATTATTTGGAGAAGAATGCCTAAAAAGAGACATGGGTACCAATATCATATTCTAAAAATAGCATCAAGAGGCAACCTTTTTTATTTCTTGTTCTCTTAATTTATTTTAATATAAGATAATGCACCTAAATCTTTCCTTTTGCACGTTTTTACTAAACAGTAATGACATATGGAGATTGGCCCAATTCCAGGACTGGGGCCAAGTACCCCAGTCTAAAAATAGCACTTGGGGGCATTTTTCGGCTTGTGTCTGTTCGGCATCGTTATCAGCGTGTGAAATTACCCCCAGTGTACCCATTTTCATGCTGGTATCAGAATTTGCACAATTCAAGTCAAATACTGTGCTAAGAGCCCAGACTATAACGCTTATAAATGACAAAATTGTGTTAGTGCCGACCGATAGCGGTGATGTATGATAAAATTTAGACTTTAAACGTCAATTTGTGAATAGTAAATTGTAAAAGAAGTTATTTTGTAAATTGAGTAAATTGTAAAAGCAGATATTTCCACTGGGTAATGGCTCCGGAGCTTTCACGCCAGCTAGACCTCTCTCTTGATGTTCCTGTCAAGGCTAAAATCGACTCGCCTATAGAAAACGCCGTTTTACCCGCCCCTAATTATTCTAACTTTAAGTAGAGGTCTCTACTTTTACATCAGGGGTCTGGGGCACAGGTTAAAAGGGAATGAATTGTAAAACACTTCAAAACAGAAAAGGGTGTATCAAATCAATCTTTCCGTTTTTTCACCAGAGACATCTGTAAAAATTCAAAAGCTGGAGGGGCGCGGTTAGGAAGGAGAATCTCAGAAAAACTTTGTCTCAGAAAAATTGACACTTTTTCAAAAGTGCTAAAGAAAAGGGAAATTTTCTGAAAGTCTCTGGGTTTTCCCCTGTTCCATGCAAGCTTTGGGCATCATTTGTAACGGCAGTATGGTGCAACAGCTTTTACAATACGTGTTCATGTTTCTTCAGTTTTTCATGAGGAAGAGGTGGTTTGATGTGCAAATATTCAAATATTCGGCAAGAGATGCCAACGTCTAAGAGGTAAAGGATGGGACAAGGTTTAAGTCAAGGAAGTTTGGAAAATCGTTCACAGCTTTTTTACTGGTATTTTTATCGAATGAAAAGCCACTAGAATCTTAAAGTCATACAAATTTCCTCGATAATCACAAAGGCAACAGTTTATGGAACTTTCATTCATACAAGGGCAGTTTATTCAAATATTTGATTTATCGATATTTGCGCCAACACTACCACACAATGCCAAGTATCTTTATATCTCCTTTAACGATTAAAGATATGCTCTCAAAATTTATAAAATATAAGATTTTTTGATATTACAACATCATGATAGCGTTGCCACCCCTAAAATTACCACCAGCCCCGAAGTGACAGTAGCTTTCATTAACACTTGGGACCAGTTTAGGCCCTCTTTAGATAAGGTCACTTAGCACCTCGTAAAAACACTACTCGCGGTTAGAATCTAAACTGCCTCTTTAAAAAAATAATTGCAAAGGCAGACTCGTTTTTTGGTGCTTTCAATAAATCTTGACGAGTAAAATCATCCAAAATGGTCTTAAGGATGTTAAGCTGAAAAATTATTCTCGCGGATAAAACTTGTTACCGAAAATTGGTTCTGAATAGTTCTAAACTGCAAAAAATCTGGCAGAAGCATATTCTGGCAAAAGCATATTCTGGCAAAAGCATATTCTGGCAGAAGCACATTCTGGCAGAAGCACATTCTAGCAGAAGCACATTCTGGCAAAAGCACATTCTGGCAGAAGCACATTCTAGCAGAAGCACATTCTGGCAGAAGAACATTCTTCGAATAACAATAACAATTAAACAAAGTTACATTTATTACAGGTAAAATCGCACTTGATATCTCGGGATGCAAAAATTATAGTTGAACATTATCTTAGTGCTAGGTGGACAAGCCTTCTCAATAAGATATGAAAGAAAAAGAAATCAAACAACCCAAGAAAACACGAAATTGTTGATATACGAAATTTCATATAAATTCAAAAACACAAATCTCTCAATTCATAAAACTCTCTTTATAAAAGAATTTGCAAGGAAAATAAAATTTGGACTACATTCTAATAAAACAAACATTGGAATAGAGTGTAAACAATTATTGTAATAGAGAGGGAAGGAATCCAAACTGGAATGATATAGAAAGATGGCATTCCTGTCATATAAAAAGGCACGATCTCGGGAATTTTCAGTGAGCAAAATGCAAATCAAACAAAAGTGACCTTGTGAAAGAGCAGTTTGATAAGACTAGAGGGTAGATACAAGAGAAGTTTTGTAAACATACTGATCAGATCCTTACCATTTTCCCATAAACATAGGATTAGACAAAAGTTGTATAAAATGTAAGCTATTCGTTATAGACCACAGTACAGGGTGAAAAGGGGAAGCCTGTTTTCGCGAGTGCATCTTCAAATTGAATAATTTTGAAACTTTAACAAAATCTGAAACTATTACTTTGCAAGTTGACTAGCTTATTTCATTTTAGCAGCTGTATTATCTGGGCATAGAAACCCAAACTTGTATAGAAGTTTATCTATCTCCGCAATTTCTTATAAACAAGCCACGTATCTTCATACTTTATCCAATAAATCCTTTTCATTAAAAGAATTGACATATGTTGTTCCCTTTCAATTCCTTGTGAACAGAAAGAGGCATTGAAGTGACACCCCCTGAATTCTAACGTCATTGGCTTCCAAGCCTCTTTGAAAAACGTTCGAAACAATTTGCGTCATCCGAAGATAGACTGTTTGAAAGTCCCCATTTTATAATATCTTTTGCCAACAGCGTCAACTTTGATACAATGTCTGATTGTGGGAGACTCTTGATGGACGAGCATATGATATGGAGGAGAATTTTTGCGTTTTCAAAACAATCTGGAAACGGCAAATCCTACAAGTAAAAAGAAAATTAGACATTATTCGAAAGCATGGTTGCATCATATAAAACTATGACTTCTTAGACTTGAGGCAGAAAAAAATGCTGAAATGCAGCTTAAATTAAAAAAAAACTGCATAGCAGTCTAGGGCCTAAAGGTTTGTGGAAAAGGATAAGGATATGTATTTCTTTGCATCGTTAAACTTTAAAATGCAGCAATACTTTGAGTAAAACCTTTTTTCTGCTTTTTGTTTTAATTCTTTGGTTTTTTGTAGCTTTGCTAAAGGCAAACACCTCTTATCAAGCAGAGTTTATGTATCTAGAATCCAAATACAAGGGGCTGAGATAATCTTTCTGGCAGCGCATTTTGATGTTAATTTGCTATCAAGGTTTGGAATACGACAAAATAATAGGTAACGTAGGAATGAAAGAGAGAAGGTGAGGGTGCGGGTTGTGGTTAAGATAAATGGTAATCAAATATAAAAAATCAAAACAGATGATCTCACCGCTGATTCATTTAGCCAGGATTGGAGTTCCTTTTTAAATCGTTCACTTTCTATTTCCATCTGCTGAAAGCTTTCATCATCAATTACAGTAATTTCGTTTCCAAGTATATCTACTTTCTGTTCCCCTGATTTCTGAACAACTTCCCCTTCCGTGTCTTTCTTGTCATCTTCTGATTTGTCACTTGCACGCCAGTTCGTCTTGGAATCACCCTCATTTAAAATTTCATCGCCTTTTACAGGTTTCTTTTTCTTGGTCTTCCCAACCTTGGAAATTATATGTTGTCGCAATTGTCTCTTTATTTTTGCCTCTAAAATATTGTGATCCAAGCTTTTAATGCATGACTTTAATTGTGCAATCCTTCCAAATGAAGTTAATAGTAGCGATGACGAAATACCAGACAAAAATGCTAAGAAATTTCCAATATCAATATTTTGGTAACTGGCTTCAGAGAGTGAAGTTCTTTCGATACTGTTGTAATTTGAAAAGCCCCCTTCTAAACCATCTTTAATTTTCTCCCATCTGCGTATCAATGTGGGAAATATTTTCCACCAGAAATGAAACAAAATTGCAGTTTTGTGATAACCATCAAAATTATAAAAAAGTGAGTGAGCTTTTTGTCTCTCTTCATCATTTGAAGATTTGTCCAGGACCGAGGCTGTTATCAATTCAACCGTTGTGAAATCTCTAGGAAGGAGCAGCTTGTACAATTTCTCAAGAGCCTCAAACTGATGAGAGCTGTAGGCGATTTCCAATGTTTGAAGCCAGTGTAAAAGACAATGGTAAGAATTTCCCTCTAAAAGGCTTTTGATTCCCATAGCAACTTCGAAAGAAATTGACAACATGGCCTAGAAGAAAGAAAAGTAATAAGCTTTGATTATCATACAGTTACAAGACAGTTTCAGAAAATGCTATTGCATGGTGCCTAATAGCATTTTGTGATAACCAATGTTGCATTTCTTATAATATAATATATCTTCTTTCATCACATCTAACTTAAATACACCTTTTGATCTTCAAGATTCAAACATGCGAATTAAACTTCTGTTGAAGCTACAGACAATCTACTGGCAGGTTAAAAAAAACACTTTAGAAAAAACATGGAATTTCACTTACAACTTTCAAGTCATTTACTGTAATCACTTTTCCAGCATTGAAGCTCTGGGACAGTTGCCAATGGTCATTCTCAAATAATCCGTGCAGAGGAGTGGTATCAAACTTACGATGGAAGACGTCACAAGCGATTTCCATGACTTTGTTTGGTTCTTTCTTCAAATTTTGTAGCAGGTCACCTGAGAAAAAAGCAACTTTACGTAAATAGAATCGAGATGAAGACATTTTGAAATACGCTGTAATGCTTTGACATATTAAATCTCAAGAACCACCATTTAACTTTAACGTCTCTCACTTCTGTAACACATAAGATACATTCTGCATCCTGAGCTCGTTGCAAGTATGCCAACGCCAAAGGCAAGAGAGATAGAGAGAAATACATGCTTTTGCCTCGTAGCCCCAGGTCAGTTTATCCTTGAAATATGTTTGTTAACCTAACGTCTCTTGTTATCTTTGGTCTTTCTCCTAGCTGGAACTGTCACTGGCTGTCACAGATTGTAGTCTACACAGTCACATATGATATTTCTTTAAAAAAATAAAAAAAGCCTTACTCTTTGTGTGTGTATTGACAGATTCAAATTGACAATCAGACGGTATATAATGTCCATTCCTCTCAATGCTTGCGGTAAAGCTGAGAACCACATCACTTTCTGTACCTGACAGGAAGCGCATTGTCAGCTCATGAACGATCGCAAGGAAGGTGTATCCCTGAAGAGCAATGCAAATAACTTTAAAACACAAGGAAAGATGTTCCAGGCAGAGGACAGTGGGCTCTTTCTTTCTTTAAAAAGGAAAATCAGTACCTGTCTGTCCATGTACAGAGTACCCTGTCCCTGGATATTTAGCCATTTAAAATCTACTTTAAAAAATAAGATTGCATTAATCGTCGGTACAGTCAAAACTTGATCATAATGCAAAAATGCAAGCAACGATGGTCCAACCTAACACGTTTTGCTGTAGTGACTGCCCATCCCCCCCCCCAAGAATTAGTCTTCATCTATCCACAAAATCGATGTGACAATAATAACTAACCTAAATGATACCCCTTTGCCTTTTCCATCACAGATTGTTTAATGATATATTTAAGTTTATTGAGAGCTTACTGTCTTCATTCTGCTTTTCAAAGTGCAAAGAAAACAAATCGGAAAGAAAGATTAAAAACACACCTTCGGGTTTCGCATCATTTCAATGACCTGGCTGGCTTCTGTCCATTTAAAATCAGTTAGCAAAGCCTCTGCACAGTGTTGCAAATAGGATTCTGCCACTTCAATATTATCGTAAACAATTGCAACCTACGAAGTATAATCAGGAGTGTCACAAACAAACGAACTTAAACGGTACTGTTTTTACCTGCATGCCGTATTCCAAATAACTCGGATACGCAAAGGGGTTAAGGCCCTTCGTTTGGGTTTGGTTCTCCTCGGAGTATAATGAGAAACTATTGAATTCCCTAACAAAATAGTCAATGTAGGCATAAGGTAAATGTTGCAGATATTGAAAAACAAGTCCTCACACTTTGTTATTTACAAGGTCTACAAAGGAAGCAGACAAAGAAATTCTTAGAAGAAAAATTGCAGCATGGAGTAATCTCAGTCGAAAACATCGCTCTGGCTTTCTGTCAGTAAAATATATGGAGATTCCAAAGTATTTGGAACACAGCTGGGGCTGCAATAATCAATAACACACCTGAGCAGCAGTTTTCAAAGAGCTGACATCACCTTTTCTTGCCAATATCTTAATAGCAGTATCACAATCTCCAGCTGCAATATAACTGCAAAAAAGCCATAAAAATTGCTAAAAAACTCCAAAAATCTCAACCCACGTGAAAAGAATGCCCCCTTAATACCAAAGTTGATATTCCATACTTATCCTTGTTGAACATATACGAGGAAAAATCACGAGCGAATCAACGGACGTTACAAATCAACTCGAAGAATAATTCGACATCATTTATTTCGACATTGACAGGAGTAGCATCTAAAAAGTAGTTGATTCCTTCCGATTTCTGGATGGTATTTTGGGCGAAGTTAACGTCACGTAAAAGTGAAAAAAATTTACGCAAAAACATAGCAGAGTTTCCACGTCGCATTACTCGAAGAGGATTCACGAACAAACACAATTTTTAGCAAGGATTAGCTCGACAGTGAATATTTGGGGTTTAGGTGGGGCCTATTGAAGGAATTTAAAAGCATTTGTCGTTTCTAAATTCATCTATTGAGATTTAACGGTCTTTCATACCATTTCGCAGCATTTTCATAGCACCCCTCTGCAATCTGCTTTTCACCCCATTGTCTGTACAGTTCAATTAGAACAGGATCCCTGCTTGACAGTCTTACCTTAGCTAAAGCAATTGCCTCTCTGTGTCAAGGAGAAAATAAGCAAAATCAACAAACAGAAAAGTAATTAGTAAATGTACTATACCAAAAAGCGATTCTAAGAAAAATGGAGAAACTAGAAAAAATAGCAGCAAAATTTAACAAAAAAGCTTATAACAGAAAAATTACTTCGCTTGAAAATTCAAGTTTTTCAACTTTTCTTAACCTCAATCTTCATCCAAATTAATGTTTGACTTGAAAAATAATGAAACGGAAGACCATTACTGAAGAAGAGACATAAAAATAACCTATTGTGGTTATGAATAGCATTTTGAGAACTACTTTTTTTCTCCAGTTTTGAATTTGCTCAAATTAAAGAAAATTGTTCGTGTTTTATGTCATGGTCAAATACATACTTAAACATATTCTGGGCCTTGAACATTTCAATCGCTTCTTTGACTTTGTTGACGGCAACGTAATACGAGGCTGCAGCAAAATAGTCTCCTTTTGATGCAAGCTGGTCTGCGTATGCTTTCATGGTTGACTGCCAAACATCGAAACCCCCTGAATGAAAGATTATAAATCGTTCGAATGAAATACTTAAAGTTAAACCATTTATAGATTGAATCTACTGCAGAAAACTGGAAATAATAGCCACTTCGAGAAGTAATCATTATGCTATAGGTAAAATATAAGCATAAAGAGCTGGCATACAGATAGATAGAGGAATCGTACAAGGATGCATGCTGTCTCCGATGATTTTCAAACGTCATGGTGAGCATTTGATGCTTAAGAAATTAGAGAATAGTAAACAATGCCTATAAACGGAAAATTGTAACTAAAGACGATTGGAAGATGATCCACTGAGTATTGAGAAAACAAACAACAATGGTAAATACACTTCATGAGATATAAATATGAAACAATTAATGAGACTAGCCACGAAGAAACTACGATAATGAAAATTAAGATTTAAAATAACAGTAGCTAAAGTACTAAAATAGAAGAAAAGAGTTCTTACAAGAAAACTAGTACTTAACTACTTTGGAAAAACGCAAAAGGAAAAATCAGTAAAACTGATAGTAACCTTAACATATTTGAAGAGTTTACATAAAATGACTTCTGACTGAATGCAAAGAAAAGAGTTTGACAACAATTTTCCCATTAGCTAGGCGTGCAAGAGAGGTATGGAACGTCAAAAAATTGAGCAATTAAGCAACTTGGCGCCTCAGAGATTAATTATAAAGCACAATTAGCATATACTACAAGTCAAAATCAGGAAGGCAATCACAAAATCAGAATATTCCGTATTGGGAAGTGAGTATAAAGATGTGATATTATCAAATATACAAGGATAAACAAACATCCACCTGTTAATGATGAGGTGGGTTGCGTTTCTTAATTGCCTGTTCTAGTCTTTATTTTGTTTTGTTTCATCTCTTGAATAATTCATTTACTTTACTGAAACCGAGAATTCTTTATTACCAATGGTTTGCTTGTTTGCCGTAAAAATTATTTCTGTCAGGGGGTTCCTGATCACAAATTCGCTGACTTGTGGTCCAGCTAATGGTCAAAGATAGCTTGCTTGCTTGTAGAAGCTTCTTTAAGACTATGCTGTGGCCCAACATCTGAAATTTTTTCCTGGGCAACGGCATAATATATCACCCTCATTTTATCGCTTTTTTTGATAAATTGGAGAGGTACGATCAACTGAAGAAGTATAACAATTATTTTTATGGCACATTGGCTAGGTCCACCCTGGAAGGATTAATCTAAAGAAAGTGATGCTTTGTTAGCCTTTTTTGTTTAGTTTATTGTTAATGTGATTTAATCCGATTATAACTTGTATCGTTCCAAATATGTGTTTACGCAAATAAATATACAAATGTTTAAACGAATAATATCATCGTAAATAAACATACAAGGATATCATAATATCAAATAATATCATACGAATAATCAACATCAAAGATTCACAATCAATTAATTAACAAAGAAGAAAGGATGAATAATAAGTATGTAGAAATTTCTTCAATCGATTTTGCTTTGATTGAATTTTTTTGGTGAAAATCATGTAGGGTGATGATGATTATATATTCAGCATTTATTATTCTCTTTTCCTATCTTTTCTCTTTTTTTCAAAGATGAAAATGTTAGCAAAATGCCAGCTTGTCATATTGCAAGAGCTTAGTGGCACTGTATTGGTGCGAAGGAATTGCGATCGACCATATCATAACATTACATCGATTATCGAACCGCCCGACCATCCTACACTCACCTATTGGACTCATGGCAACAACCATCTCATTCAGCTCTCCTTTCTGCTTACAAATACTGAGTGCACCTTCCAAGTTACCTTTCCATAACTCTAGATGGAGCTGCTGCTCACAATTGCCAGAAAGTAAGTGATTTTGACCTAAAAAAATAAATATTCAGTTATTGACCACAAAACTTACCTGCCTGAAACTGAAAACAAGGAAGCACGGTAGGGAAATTTCTAGCAAAGATCAATAGACCATAGTGAAATAAAAATACAAGATACCATAGGTATTTCAACGAAAAATGCCAGAAAAGAGTTACAATAAACAAGGGTAAATGCATCTGATTATTTCCAAGTTGGAAAGCTCTTTTGAGATATAGTAGGTCTGGGGGGAGGGGGAGGTTTTATGGTTTATTTCTGATAAGGATGCAAAGAGTACATTTTATAGTTTTACTGTAATCGTAGAGAGAAGATAACCTAGACGTTTTTCTGTAATAAGAGAAAAACAATTTCGAAACCATACCTTCAGTAGTAAACATCTTGAATGCTGAAGGCCGATCACCAAACAAGCCAAGATTTACATACTCAGCTTTTCCCGGCACAAATTCTCCAACGGAACTATCCATACTTGATCCCTCTAAATTTGAAATATTCCTTTTTTATAAGGAAGCATATTACTGGCTGCAGTTAAAAGTGAAAGATGGAAGGTTCAATGCATGGAGAAGTGTTTTCAGTATAGAAATTAGGATAAAAGTTGCAATTATTTAAAGTTGGCACACATGCATACAAGGACTAGTATCAAATTTTATCCAAGGTTTGTCACAGCTCATTCGAAAAAAGCTAATCAAAGCAATATTAGCAAACAATTTGTGATCTTAGTTCAAATAATCACATGAGAAAATTTACAACCTAAACTTGATAAATCAAAACAAAAATATTACTTATCTTTTTACTTCAATTCTACAAGTTGAAGGAAATAAATTGCAAATGAAAGGGGAAATGCAAGCTGCGTGGAGAAAATACCTTTAAGATGCTTGGCAAGCATTATGCATTCCTTTTGACTGGCTGCTTTCTGTTTATGGTTCTGTGTGGCAGACAATGGAAAAAGTGATTTTGGTTTCTTCTTTTTTGTATCACCTGAAATAGGAACATACTGGAACTAATGATTTGAGAGACAATGGGCCTCAAAGTAGAGCAAATACTGGAGAACATTGGATGGAAGATTTGGACCATTAAGCTGCTGGTTTAAGAATAGTCACTTCCCTGAATACCTCTGCAAGCACTAGAGTTGAAGGGGAGGGAGGGGAGGGGGGGGGGTTGATATGTTTTAGCATACAATGACAAGTTACAGTCACGTTATCAATGCTTCCTGGCTTGATTTTACAGGATACATAGTAAACAATATCTATGGACATGTCAACGAACATCAGTTTTAAGAATACCTTTACAGGACGATCGCTTTAAGGCATCCTCTTGTGTTAACCTCGACTTCAAGTCAGAAGGAGACACCGTAGAGTCTTCAGTGGAGATTAATCTCGCTCCGAGTCCATCATCAGAAGAATCCACCACAGCGTCCTTGGGTTCACCACACTGACGTTGGTTCACGAGAGATTCCTCTACGGCTGGTTGACCTGTAGGTTCTGACGCAGTTTGAGGTTTTGCCGTTGTTTTTGCCTTTGGTTTTTCGCTCTTTCTAGAGCCAGTTACTTGTTTCTTGACATCTTAAGGAGATAATGCAGTTTATAGAAAAGTTTTGAGGTTTCAAGACTTGAAAATACATGTTTTAGCGGACTGTATCGGTTCATTTCGTAGCAATCACATACTGCCTTGCCTTTCCTTATATTGTAAGCAATTAAAGAAGAAAAAAATAGTATTTCTGCTGCAACTTGATGTAAGTAAATCACTCTCTAGCATTAAAAAGCAAGTCACCTTCTTTCCCTACATATTTTTAGGCACAAATTGCTTAAATGTTTTCATAGCAAGTCGAATAAAGAAAATTGCACTATTATTTTTGCCTTCATTAAAAACAATTGCCATACTTACGGATTTAAAATTAGTTCAAAATTATATAGCATAGATAAATAGTTACACCTTAATTTAAATAGTTGAATAGCATAGTATAACATTATATACTGTGGCACTGTAACACTGTGACAGACACAAATTGCAAGGACTCCAATGTTGTCTAAGCAATTCTAGATAGAAATATAATAGTATTACGTCTGCAAGCCTTAAACACAAAAACATCGCTTTTGCATTTATACCTGTAGGCATTACGTGCTTGCATGAGGATATAGTCCATCTTCGTAGCGTGAAATCTTCGCTTCCAGAGTATATGACGTCAGGATCAACAAGACTCCACTCAACACAAAGCACACGGCCTAAATGCCCTCGATAGTTTGCAATCGGCTCATTTTTGCTAACATTCCAAATCTGAAACAGATGCGAAACAATTGTTTAAGGAACACAAGCGACGTAAATAAACAAACAAGAACTCAACTCAAGCCAATTCAAAGTAATAGTCTACATAAATGAAGAAAAGTGACATCAATTTCATATTGAAGCAATTGCTGTTATAAAGTTTTCCTAGGTGTTACGAGAATTGGTATGAGAATTAAGATTTCCAAAACATGTACCATAACCCTAAGTATTCTCATACGTATTGCTTTAAAAATTCTGATTGTAATCATGGCTGTTTATTTCACTCTTCAAGCGACGGCTTTATTGAACCTTGGATTTAAATAAAGTCAGAGATCAAAATACAACATCGATCAAGAGACTTTGCTATGTTTCGCAAAGCTCACTTTTTATAATTTAAAATAATGCTAACCAATTCAGGTTTTGTTCTTGAATTGAAGCTTTGGATAACGCAACATGGTACCAGTCAATGAAAAGATTCGGCTTCCCGAACAATATGGCTTTCACCCAGAAACGGAGGAAATGCATGGAGGTTTTTCAGCTGAAGGCTGTGTAAAACGTGCGAAAATGCTTAGAAATCTCGTTTCCATAAATATTTCTCAATCACTTAGGCACACAATCTATTTTCCTGAAAAATACCCAAAAGCCTGTTTTTGAATTTCTACCCATCCATCAAATGCATATATTCAATCAAATCAAAATAGAAGATTAATTTTCCTACAAGATCGCCTGTTAAAATCAAACACAGCAAACAGCTGAGGCAAAATCATGCAATGCTCTTCACAAAATTCCGAATTCAAACAAATACGATGATTGGTCCACACAAAATCTGACCTTATGTTGATTATAATTATGAAACTTGCCTGAACTGTCCCATCATAACTAGAAGAAGCGAGCAGCTCCATCGAATGAGGCGACCACGATAAGCTCGTTATTCTTTGACTGTGGTGATTGAAATACCGAAACTTCTCTTTTATTACAATCTGCTTCTGGCCAAGGGTCTTGCCATCTAAAAGAATACTAAGAAATAAATAAAAAAACCAAAACTGAGAAAGGAGGGACACCATAAACGATGTTCTTAGTCTTCACATTTCCAATTGTCACAGATTCACCAAAAAACACGAGCTTTGTAACCCAGTAACGATCCATTTGATAAATCGATTCGTGGCGAGGTACTACACATATGCAGAAACGATAAAAAAGCCTGTGGCATTAATGTAATGGTTCTTATCTTAGAAAAATCAGACTTTCATATTCCTTTAAACCACTTTTCATTGGATGTGGTCAAACAAGTCAGCTTTATGTAGTATTCGATTTGTGCAGATTTTTGGGGGTTCTCTGATGACAATGCAAACAATACTGAAAAACCTGTTTGGTTTATAAGAGTTAACAGCGACAGAAATAGAATCAATTGGATAATACCTATCGCTTGCGAGATATCAGTGACGCACACGTAATTATCGCTGGAGCCAGTTGCAAGCCAATTCGCAAATGCATTTCCTAAAATGTGAAAAGAACACCAAGTGAATTTTGCAGATATAAACCATATAGCAGAATAGCAATGTGCACAAGGGAAAATACATAATTGTGCTATTGTTATTGCTTATTGGTCACGTTAGGCCTGGGACCTTAGGCCGAAATGCATATGCTGTCAATCTTACATTAGCAGGGAGAAAAGAGTTTTTCAGTGAAGCGTCGATTCATAGCCTGACTGAGAAAATTGAATTCAGGAAGGAAACTGAAAGGATAAATAAAGAAAAGGCGAGTCTGAACTTGAAATGTAGAAAACATATTTAATGAATCTTTTTGTGAACTACGGCTACAATAAATCATAGCTTACCGGTTGTAATGTGAGAAATGTCAAACTGGTGATGCCATTTCATACAATTTATGATCTTGCGGTGGACAAGAATGATGCAAATGCTTTGCAGATTTGGACTCGAAAATATCTCAACAGACCTGCAAAAAAAGAAAACGGAAATTCACATCGCTGAATGCTAGAATGTGCAGAGTTGTAAAACTTGCACTCTACAAATAGAATGTGTGAAAATAGGGTAGGAGATTATATTTACAGATAAATCGTATATTTTCTTAGAACCTGTAATGAAATAACTAAAAAATCAAAGACTAGAGCCCAGACTCTTCTATTGTTGTATATAGTTTTGTTGTGATGGCCTGTGTGATGACCTAAGCACGCGAGATTCTACCTCGAGTAACTCTGTAACCGGTTCATAAAGTTTATATTGAACCGTCGGGCCATAGATCGAGAATTAGAAATGTATTGTGGGTAAACTGAACGTGTATTGTGGGTACACTCACCCATCATCATTTCCAACAGCGACAAACTTGAAATCTTTTCTCCATTCAACGTCACTTCTCGAAGGAAATCTTTCCTATAAGTCAAAAGCATCTCCTTTGCATTTAATGCCCTTCAGAAATTAATGCTGAAGAAACACGATACAACCAGAATGGTAATGCACAACTATGAATTTCTATATTAGCATATCTACCTAAAGCCCCCAGGGTTTACTAAGCTAAATTTCGAAACCTAGGTGAAACACCTAAGATTGAAAAGCAGGGTAGCTCTGATTGATTGGATCAAGCGGCCGAAAAAATTATAAATCCTAAATTATATAGGAACTTCAGTTAATATGGGGAAGAAGTAGATGACGGAGACACATAGAGATACGTTAACACATTTGAAACTGAGCCAGGGGAATCAAGACACCATAAAAAGTGCAAAATACTGACCTTGATGCTGTTTGTTTTTCTCACTATTGCATTCATATCCCTGGCTTTATTCTGCAAGCGATTCATCGAATGAATTAGGATGGACCCTTCTCCTCCACAGCTATATAGACAGTTTCCACCTGCACTGTCGTTGTCTAGGAGCCAGATGAGAAATTGAGGTGGAGATGTGAGCAAAGAACCCATGAGGGTTCACCTGACACCTTAGTCAATTGACTATGCTGACATCATATCAAATGTTTATGGCTTTAGGAGACCTACAATCACTGTCAAAAGTCTTGGAACACTAACGTAGGTTTTCAAAGGCAAATTCAGCCATCCCTTTCTCCCCCTAGGAACAATGTTGATTTACTATAGAAAAAAGAAAGGGGTTATGGATTATGCTTTTTCTTGTGGATTGTTTGATGTTTTTCTATACTTTCAACATTGTTTTTGGGGGAAAGGGGGCGGAAGTGGTAGTTTTCAAGAAAACAAATGAACGATTGAAAAGCACAGCGCAAAGTGTTAGGTTTTCCAAATAATTTTGGCAGTGATTGTAGCCTTTTAAGGGACAACAAAGGCCTGTAACCTCCGAGCCCTTCAAACATATTCAAAAATTGAGATCCAATTAATTGCTAAATTTTGCTCTTAAAATAGCAATGCCACCAATCTATTAAGTAAAAACAATCACAAAAATGCATCAATGTACACATATTGTTACATGAAAATTATCTAATGGCTGCTAGTAGTGAGATAAAGAAATTTAGAATTGGCAATCTTCAAAGGCCATCTACAAATGTTCTAAATTAATCCCATTACAGATGAGGGCAGTTACGAACAAACGAAACTTCAATATAGAGCAGTGGGTGAACAAAGGTCTCCTAAATGTCTCGATTTTTATCTTCTTTAGCTTCCTGAAGCTGTTGCATCGCCAACAACAGTTTGATCCCGTGTTTATGACGTAAGCAACTATAAATAGCAAATCTGTTACAAATTACAATTACTAATTACAAATAGCTCGCCTTGATCCTGCTACTACAGAATATGGTATTATGTGAAGCTATCTATGTAAGCAACCGGCTACTCTTACGACTACGTGTACAAGGGGTAGCTTAATGAAACTCAGGGAAATTTTTAGGATTCTAAAAGCTAGAATTTAAAATGCTTCGAAGGTTTTGAAAGATAAGATTCAGCAACAGCATTTCATTGGCTGAGTTAGCTTTGAATATTAGCAGCTGAGTGATAAATAAAATTTGGCACAAAGGCACAAAGGGGAATACGAATTTAAAGCAACAAGCGAGAAACGATTTCAAACCTACCGTTTGCATCTTCTCCACAATTTGGTCCCCAAGCCAATGAATATACTGTCTTTTTATGGTATGAGATAGAAACTTCAAATCTTAAAAAAATAAGTTAAATATGGGGTTTATACAAATTTGCATATAACATAAATGCTGTAGGAATGTCTTAGAGATGCTTTGGGAACTCCTTCGAAACGAACTCCTTCTGTCAACGCAACAGAGGTTTTCTCGATTTTATGTAGATAGATTCTAAAGCTGCTAGATGAAACAACGATCGGGCTCTGCCAATTATCTGAAACATGTTGTCAGTCAGGTTTTTCTTGGTCTGTGGACGAAGGTGATGTGCTCAATTTTGTTTCTTGTTAGAAAGAAGTCGCTATACCATTATAATTATTAGACTTCGCTAGATAAACGTTTTTGTAAGGCATAGTAAGTAGTAAGGCCACGTATACTAGATCAATTCTGCAAGAAAATATAGATCGTCCAAAGCAATTTTGGGACAAAATAAAGCGGTGTTTTCCAACAAAGAGCATAAATAAAGAAAACAACAAAGTCTTTGAAGTAAACGGCAAACCGACATCAGATTTGAAAGCTATTTCGAATGGGTTTTGCACATTTTTTGCCAATATTGGCAAAGCACTACAAAAAGCTATACCCTCGTTGAGAGATAACATCTGGAAGCATCATGACTATGCCACTATGAAGCAGACTATAAATCCAAAAAGTTGCCGCTTTCACTTCAAGCCAACAAACAGAAATAAAGTATGGGCGATTTTAAGAAAGATCAAAAGAAGGAAGGCCCCTGACCACGATGACATCCCAACATGTATGATTATAGATGGGGCAGATGAAATATCTGCACCCCTTTCAGAAATGATAAACCATTGTTTAAAGACGTCAGTTTTTCCTTCTGATGAAAAGATCGCCAAAGTAACCCTAATTTTTAAGTCTGGTGAAAGATCTTTAATGGATAATTACAGACCTATATCAGTGCTTCCAGTCCTGTCAAAAGTCATCGAGCGTGTAGTACACCAACAACTTTATGACTATTTGGAAAAAAACAAACTGCTTTCTAGACGACAATTTGGTTTCAGAAATAGGTCGTCGACCCAGCATGCAGTTACGCTCTTCTCAGATTCAATCAGAAAAAATATGGACAAGAGCCTCATGACTGGTGCAGTATTTATTGATTTAAGTAAGGCATTCGATACTGTGGATCATGCACGACTTCTGTCTAAACTATCGATTTATGGCATCAAAGACAGAGAAATGTCATGGTTTAGTAATTATTTGTTTAACAGAAAGCAATATGTTGCAATCGATGGACAAAGCTCTGAAATGCAAGCAATATCTTGTGGAGTACCGCAAGGATCTATCCTTGGTCCATTGATGTTTATATTGCTGATAAATGACATCGAATCAAATCTAAAATTGTGTAATATAATTCTCTATGCTGATGACACCGTCTTGTTCTATGCTAGAAAGACAAGTAATGAAATTGAGAATATCTTGGGCAGTGAATTAGAGCAGATTGCTCGTTGGCTCAATGAAAATAACCTTGTTATAAATCTAAAGAAATCAAAAACAGAGTGCGTTTTTTATGGGACGCATCAAAAAGCATCTAAATCGACCGCATTTGAAATCAAGCTTAATGGATTGAAAATTACTGAATCAGCAGCCTATAAATATTTAGGGGTCATGATGGACAAAAGTCTCACCTATGCAGAACACATCGAAAAAACTCTTAAAAAGGCAAGCTCAAGAGTCAAATTATTGTCCAGGATAAGACCGAACTTGACGCCTCACGCAGCAGAAACAATATACAGAGTCATGATACTGCCACTTCTAATCTACTACAACAAAATTTTTGTAGAAATGTCACCATCTAAGAAACAACGATTTGAAAGCATCCAAACACGATCATTGAAGATTATCAATGGCAGAAGAAATAGTGTAAAACTACCATCTATAAACCACATTAAGAATAAAATGTATGCAGTTGAGGTCTTTAAATGCTTAAACGGTCTTGCACCACCTGACTTTATGGAATACTTTCAGCGTGTAAAACACAGCAAAGCAACTCGTGGAAATGAACACAGTCTATTGCTCTCAAGAGTAAAATCTGAAGCAGGACGGAAAACGTTTGCATTCCAGGGTGTAAAAATTTTTTAATAAAGTCCCCAGCAAACTACAAAGTGAAACATCTATACTGAAGCTCAAGAGTTGCTGCAAGGATATCGACTTTGATTTTTAACTTTTTCTCTAGATTTTATTATTGTAAAAACTTTCTAAACTATATTGTTGTAACATTTATATCGTAGGTACATTAGTTTCACAGGTCCTTGATTGATAGCAGCAAACTCATTTTTGCTGAACAAGTTTACCTGTATAAATATGGTCTTATTATTATTATTATTATTATTATTATTATTATTATTGGTAAAAGGCTTATATTCTTTGCGATGATTTATATCATAAAAGATTTAGAAGTGGCTACTTACTTTTTAGAGGCAATATTATAGATGCCAACGTGGCCATCATCCGTTCCAAACCCAACAACACCCTCTTTGCGTGGGTGACAAACGACCTGCAAAAGATGTTACGTCTGCTAATGATAGATCTACAATTAATTTCATGTCTAGCATTAGGTCAGAATTGGAAACAAAGCTCCTTTTTGGACCAGGGGGTCTTTCGATATGTGACAGAACCAAGCCACGATGTCATCATCATTTTTTGTCTCTTGTGAGATAAATGCAGTTCTGGGATGAAAATAAATATCCCCTACCAACATGCTAATAAGTGTAAGATGAAAAACTACAAAAAATAATCATTTATGTCCGCCATTTCCTTATTCCGCCTCCAAACAGTCCTCGGGCCTGGAAACAAGTTGTTCCCCAGATCCCGCATCCCTTCCCAAAGCAATATTTCTAGACTTTCAAAAGTTTGTTCAATAAAATGCTAGAACCAAATTTTATACTCCACTAACTCTTAAGTGTTTTAAACTCCCCAAATCATGGTGTTTTGTCAAATAAATAACTTTCTAACTCAATCAGTTCCTTCCCCAGGTTTCTTCTTTATACTCAAGACGTCCTGTCCTATCAAACGAATTTGTACTCACAACAGTAACTTTTGATTTTATTCCTTGCCAGAGCATAATGGTGTCATATGGCTGATTGCTGTCTCTTGTATTCCAAACACGGATAACGTTATCACCAACGCCATAAATGATGCTATACGGATCGAGCAACGATGTCGTGACGGAATAAACATAGCCCCCCAAACTTGGAACGCAACCGAGTAGGCTGTGCGTCTCTGAATTCCATAGGAGTACCTATCACGTAAAATATAACAATGAGACTAGAAAAAGTTTATTGGTGATATGCTAACTGAAGTTTAATGCAAGTCAGGTTTAAAGAAGATTAGGAGCACAATCTGTACAGACTTCGAATAACTTTTGCAAGATGGCAACAAGAGACTCAAGATTGAGTCTAAACTGTAACAAACAGAGCACTTCTTTGTTGTTTAAACATTGGCTTATAGTTTTTAAGCAAATCTAATTCATTTAAATAACTGTTTCAAAGACCCATTGCTAAAAATAAGCTGTGCACAGCGCAGGCATCCCATAATGCATTTTTAGACAGTCTCAAATTGATTTTGGTCGATCCGTGAAAGTCTACCGCCAGTGATTTGCCACACGCGCAAAGGCTCATAGATAGCAGCTTGAGATAGAGACGCCTCTAGAAGCAGCTTGAGATAGAGACGATTTTATTGAATATTCTTGATGTTATTTCGATTTATTCAAGCAGTACTTAAAGTATACAAGTTCCAAAAAATAAGGAGGATATGAAACACCTACTTGTCTATCCATCGATGTTGTGATCATTTTCTTAACAGTAGGGTCGATGGTTATATTGAAGATAATTCTTGTGTGGCCATGAGATAATGTCTTGAACTCTTTGCTGCTTAGATTCCAGACCAGTATGTCACCACTGAAATCAAAATATTAATTGATTTGAATTCAAATAAGTTTATGCAGTTTTCTGATATTAATAAGATATATAATTAAACAAGATTTTTGCTCCTTTGTCCAGTCTTATTCTGCGATTTTGAGTGTTGTTCAGTTGATTTTGAAGGCAGTCAAAAATGTTCAGTGGACAGGATTAAATTTCATTTGTTCATAGATGTTCTAGAGAAATGTCCAGTCGTTTTGCCATTCTACTGAACATTGCCCAGTTCGCGCACGTGCAATTGATGTAATGGATTGGATTTGGCGCGAAATCTATTTCCCATATTCAAATTAAACATTAACATTCGACGAAGAGCAGAAAAAGGCATTTCATTAGTAACGACGAGTCTTTTGAAGAGATTAGCTTTGGTTCCGATGAGGGAAGCGATGGAAGTGAGCAGGAGTACGATGATTGTGATGAACCTAGCAGGCCTAATCCTTCTTCACACGCAGTTTTCCCGCGTGCATTCTCCCACAGTGCAAAAGTTCACTTGACAATGTTCAGTCGTTTTGCCACCACCAAAATTTTCTGAATGTCCACACACTGAACAAAGTGAGGAATGTCCAGAGCATGACTAGTGCAAATTTCCAGTCGTTTTGCCGGGGCTTTTTGATGGCAAAAGTGGATCAGAAAGATATTACAGTCTCTTGATCATGGGAACAAAATGAAAAATCAAATGGTAAAATGGGCAAAACGCTGATGAAATATGACAGGAATGTAGGATGATCACATTATTATTTTCATAAAAATGTCTTCATATCATGAAAGAGCGCAAACCCAAACTGTTTTGGTAAACAGCGCAAGCTATCCTAGACAAAACAAAAGAGAATAATAGAAGAGCTTCCCCTGGTCAACCTTGTTTATTGGGAAAAACACGCAATTATATTCGGGCCAATGAATAAAAAATAAACGAGAAGAGAGCGACACAGGTAGTTTGTTAAACTAAAATTTTCAAAAACTAAGGATTTCAAACAGCATTTTAAAATTGGCTCGAAATTATTTGATGTTCTTGAAAAATGCTGCAAATGTTTATAAAAACAATTTGGTAGATTAGATTTCGACGTCAGTGCAAGAATTTTTCACTTAATTGATGTGATTAATAATTCAAAAGTGGCTAATTATAAAGAGTATTTAACATGCAAGCTTGGAAAGCATCAGATTTTGTTTGGGTGTCGCGAAGGTTGCCAGTGTAAAGGACGAAAGCGATTTAAAGAAAACGAAACATGTTTAACAAGTCGTTGGTGCCGATCAATTTGCAAAAAGAACAAATGATGAAGGCTTGGCACTGACTTGGCTGCATATAAAACTTTTGGCGTCATTACTCGAACTTAGAGATACAGACACTCAGGAAAGAAGAATGGTAATTGCAATGTAGAAGGTAAAAAATGTTGAAAAATTGAAGCTACGGCGGACTCTGATTTCGTAATAAAAGCTGCTTTCAAAGCTTTTGGCAAGCTGACCTATTTTGAGCAAAAACGAAAATAGTAAGAGAAAGATAAATGTAAGAAAGAAGGTTTTCAACATGGAGATTACAGGTATATTAAGGATCATTTCAACTTCCTTGGCCCTTGTTTTCAACATTATCGGGCTGAAGCTGTTACATGAAGTAAAGAAAATCAAAGCGACTCAAAAAGTTATCCTTTCAAACTTGAGTGTATCTGATTCTCTGAATGCAGTGACAGCATTAATTGGCATCACTCTTATTGACCATACAATCTCAAACGACGAGAACAAATTTGCTGTTGGAGTATTGGCATCGTTTTGTGTCTTGGTATCATGTGCATCACTCATCATAATAACGATTGATAGAGTGATTGCCACTGCAATGCCTTTGAAATACATTGTCTTGGCGACAAGAAAGCGATCCATATCGTTATAGTTGGCGCCTGGCTATTTACTTTGGCTTTTGTGACAACATCGATTTTAACGTGCACTCTTAAAGAAATACATGCTTACACATTCTGTATAACCATGCCAACCGAATTGATCATAATCGCCTCCTATTCACTGATAGTGATTAAAGCGAGGCGACAACGAAAAATCTCTGGTATGAAAAGCCTAAGCGAGACAAGGCAAGGAAAAAAAATGTTGGTAGTAGCATGTGGGATAACGGTATCATTTGCCTGTCTTGTCGCTATCCCGGATTTGATGATATATCTGATGACAGACGACAGAGATATATTCATTATGTTTATTCAAATATATTATTTCATAAATCCCTTGATTTATATATACTGTTATCCACCCTTGAGAGAGCTTATAAAAAACAAATGCGAGCAGCTACTTCATAGGTCTAGCACAAATTCTGGCCGCGAAAATCGGCTTGAAACAAATACTGGGACATGCTTGAGCAAAATTGGAGCAATTTTGTCTGTTTCGAAAACTGACAAAGTTAGAGTTAAGAAGAGCCTAGAGAAAGAAGAAAGCACTTAAAAGTTTTCGGGATAAAAACTGTCTATAATCAATGCTGTAATCTTGCACGAATAGACCGATCTATCATTTAGAACTTAGGCTGCCGGTCAGCCCGTAGACTTTCAAGATCATTAAAGTTAAGGAAATGACGTCAGGCCAAAATCAGGACAACGAAATTATAGGAGTTGTTGACAGCGATATAAATTGGTGCTGATCTTTATTCTTCAGCTTCTGAGAGAGGACACTGAATGATCAAACATGACAACAACAAAAACAACTATGGCCTAAGATACTAAATTCTACCTTGAAATTAAATTACATTACTGAAAAGCATTTTAGTGACAATTTCAGTACAAAGAAAAAGTATTATTCATTAAACCTCTTATTCAAAGCGAGTATTATTCAATATGCACTACTGTACAGTACATAATTATGTGTAAAGCCACATATTATATTAATTTTACATTTTTTGAAGGAAATACTTCACTGTAAATCGTTTGTGTGTTCGGTAGACCAGATGCTAGATTGCGGAGAGATGTACTTTCTACTTCGGCACAAACAACTTGCTGGGCAGAATAAGCAACTAAAATATGGCAACTCCATCATAGCTACGAAACAATTATCGTCAAAATTTGTTGCCTGGTGTTCGCAACTTAGAACTGTCCTGATTTATACACCAAAATGTGCACACCTCCCCCTAATTAACATCAAGCATTATATGAAAATGTAATATTCAATATCGTTATTAAATTTTGGATGTAAATTGTTATGGTATCAAATATGTTTAAAATGGTCAGCATTTCATCATAGGTAGATAGTCACAAATCTTCCTTAATTATAAAAACTTTGTTTCCAAAACACAAATGAGCACTCCAGCTTTCGGAAAGAGATAAATTTCATTACAAAAATGTTTACACTGAAACTGTATTATCTTATCTATCAATTACAGGACTGCATAGCAGCAAGATATTGAATAACTCGTAATTTGTAAAACCTAAGAAAAACAGCTGTTTTAACGAGATGCTTTTGTTAGATTTTAAAAGACCAGAAAAAGAAAAAAAACGAAACACAAACACTAGAAGACAATCAACAGCGAAAAGAAGAGATATAAGTGGATGGACAAAAAATTTATGTCTTTAACACATACCCAGCAATGCTGCTAGAAATCAATGTGGATTTGTCCTGCCAGCACAGCGTAGTCCATATTTTCACACGCCCCATATCATCAGCTTTCTTTCGCCCTTTTTGGGCAGACGTTTTGGATGGTATATTCAGAGTGAGGACAGGGTTTTCTTGCTCGATGTTCCACACGCGAATGGTCTTGTCTTTTGAACCGGAGGCAAGAAGCAAACCATCACCTATGGATAGAAAGCAAGTATCTAGCTTAGTAAGAATGAATGGACGAATGAATGAATAAATGAATGAATGAATGAATGGATGGATGGATGGATGAATGGACGAATGAATGAGTGAGTGGGCGAATGAATGATGAATGAATGAATGAATGAATGAATGAATGAATGAATGAATGAATGAATGAATGAATAAATAAATGAATGAATATATGGACGAATGAATGATTGAATGAATGGATGAATGAATGAATGAATCAATGAATGAATGAATCAATGAATGAATGAATCAATGAATGAATGAATGAATGAATGAATTTCAGTAACTTATCTTTCTTGTAGAAGGTCGGTTGGCAAGACACTTATGCTGGTTAATATAATTCTTTCATAGACAGAGCAGACTTTTATTCAGGTTTAGATAAGCGACACGGCTAGAAAGGCTTTTCACGGTTAAATATTCTAAATCTGAAAATAGCACGGAAAAGTTGGAAATAAGCATAATAAAGCACTTTCGTCCGACACTTCTCAGAGCATATATGTAGGATAATGTCCAAAGGTAAGCAGAAAATTTAAATCCAGTAGCAAATACCCAGAATTATTCTTAAATTATTCTTAAATTTTCAATAAATTATTCTCTGTAAGCAGAGCTGAGCCATGGCATATGCTTCTGGGCTTTATATCTCTGGTGTGATGGCCGTATTCATCTTTTTTCCAAGTATCTTAATCATTTTATTCAAAAGGTAGATTCCAAGTATCAAAAAATTTAACAATATTAACGTAGCAAAACTTGTAGCTGAATTGTTTTTCTAAATTCTTAAACAATTGGTAACTTTGAAAAAGACCGCTTATTCAGATGTGCCTGCAGACGTATTTTGATTGGCATGGTTTGCCTGTGAGCCCCACTCACACACTTTAGCAAGGCCTGGTCTTTACCTTTCAAAATCACTGATATTTTCTCCTCCAGTTATTCATGAAGGTTTCTCATGAAAGTTTCTCTTCGCTAACTTTCAGATGCAAAGAAAAGAGTGAGCCTGAACTGAAGCCATCCATTTCACAGTAACAGAAAAAAGCAGCCTTTTTTCAAGATTTTCTTATTATTGTGCTTTTATGCAAAAATGCCACAACTAACCATATATCACGTTTTTCTAAACTCACCATTGGTTTGAGTAGATACTGGCTGCCAAACAACTGAATGGACTTCATCTAGATGACTCTTGTACATTTGAAGAACCTCTTGCCTTTTCATGTTTACTACAATGACATGGCCATTGGTATAGCTGTTAACAGAAAATTTCCCTTGATTCAATATTGAAAACAGTAAAAGGAAGTTAAGTGACACTTTATCCTCTATGGAATTCAATTCAATCTAAAATTCTGTAGCAATTGTATACATATCCAGTTAATTGACTTTTCCTAAACAGTCCATTACAAAACATATTATTGATAAGTTATGTTATATTTTTTAGCTACATCTTTCAGGTTTTTTATTCCAATTTTTGTTCAATGTCAGTTAAAAATGACAGTCAATAACAAAATATAATTGTTATAAATTGCGCAGTAATTACCCTACAGCCAGAACTGACTGCTGTAATTTAGTTGCATCCATACACATAATAGCCACTGGTGATGGATTCCACGAAGAAGATTCACTTTTGACATAGTTCCAAGTTACCAGCAATCCCTTTTCATCACCTGGATGCAGAGGATCATTATAACATGGCGGGGATACCACAAAACACAAATGATAATGAAGACATGATTGAAGACAGCAAACCTGAATCTAACATTCCAAATTTGTCCCTGATTTAGTTTCATGGAAAGCAGTTTTTTTTAATAAAAAAAGATTTTATTACTAGTCAACAAATGGTAATGTATTTGTTTCAAAGACAGTGATACTGTCTCAAAACAATCAAGGTTGCATTGCTCATTGGGTCCTTCCTTGTAATATTTTGCTATTCTGTTCTGAATACAGTATCATATTTCCAGAGTATGGTTATACTATTGACTACAAAAAGTTTTGTAACCTTTTTTAAAAAATTCCCCCCCCCCCTCTTCTATATCATATACTGCCAGCAGAACAATCGTGAAGACAGAACAAGATGCTATTTAAATCAAAAGATGAGTTAACAGTCTGATGTTAGATATTCTTCTATACATTATGCCATAATAAATTGTGGTACATGAATGGAAAATTTTGCTTTGATCATTACCTACCAGATATAACTGTGTCATTTGCAGGAGAAACTATAGAAGATATCTTTGCCTAAAGATAAATTCAATGCTAGAAAATTAAAATCACTTAATTTATTAAAATTCCTAACAGAAAACTAAAATGAATTCTATTATGCATTGTCTCTGTCATACAAGCATTGTCTCTCTCATAATTAGCAGCAACAAAACATTGTTTCCGTATCAGTCAATCACAGCAACAATCTCACTCTTATGTAGAAGATGCAACCAACCTATCAACAGGACTGACAACAAAAGCAGTGCTTTTTATTTGTTCCATTTTGAAATTGGGCATGAAAATTATGATTTTTTTATGATTAAAAGACAATAACACTCACCTGATGATTCTTCTGCTCTGCAACTATAGTCATGCTTGCATTGATATCAATGATTCGGACAACTCCATCTTCACCCCCACTTCCAATACATGACCTGCCAGAATTCTCAGATGCCATCCAACACAATGAAGTAACCCTGTCTTTTTGTAACTGGAAAGATTTTCTGAATGCTGGAGAATTTCCAGTAATATCAAATACATATATCTGATTTCTTGCAGCAAATGCATACATCCCATGATCATTGCTTGCAGCTGCAGATGAGCAGTACCAATTTGGAGAGGCAGGTATGACCAGTTCATCTCCCATCTTAACCAATTATTTGTGTTCTTAAAACTTGAATTGAAAAATACACAAATTAACAAAAATGACTATTTATGAGAGATTATCAAGTTTAATTTGTATTGAGTTTAATTGAGTTTAATTGGTACTTGCATAGAGGGTTGAAGCAAATTTGAAAGATAAATTCAATGCCGCATAAAATCTTTTGCATAGTCAATGTTGGCTGTAAATAATGTTAGGAAATGTTAGTTTCCTTCTTTGAAACCAATTGTAAATGAATTTGCACCAGTTTGAAGTGTATGTCAGATTTTGAGAGGGTCTTGTCTGTGCAAATAAGCAGCAGCACAGGTGTGAATGAGCAGAAATCTTCCCAAGTAATCTTCCCAGGTGTGCCAGCACTATAAACTTTCCTAGCATAGGATTCAACAGACCTAGTAATAAGGTGGGCACTTAATGCTACCATGTCTGCATATAAGGTGTGTCATTACCATGCTCTGCATACTGGAAAATACATAGCCTATTCAAGAGCAAGGCTTTGTTTATATAGAGAAGAGGATAATTGTTTAAAACAATGGAAAGCGGAAGAAGCTGGAGGGGCAATTGCCCTCCTAGTTAGTATGCTAAAAACGGTCCTGGGAATATGTCTAGACGAAATCCAGTATTTCGAAGATTTGTCACAATTGCATAAACCAGAGTGCTATCTTGTGTTTGACATTCTCCCCAAACTGGGCAGTAGATCTTGGTAGGGGAAAGGGTTTCCAAGTCTCACTCTTGTCCAAAGTTCATACTGATTCTTTCATCTTGTTCCAAACAATAAATGTTCACAAACAAAAACAACATCAATTCAACGCTAAAATAAGGTGAACAGTAAGCCTTTCAAACTAAGATGCACAATTAAACCTGCAAAGCGAATTTGATACTGGGTAGCGTGCGATTTCAGCATGCACATGAAATACACCTTTCAACCCCCATTTTCGTAAGATCAAGATGTGTTGTACATACAGTAACGCAAATGAATGGCATAGTTCATTTGAGATTGAATTATATAGCAAAACTATGGTAAAAAAAATGCATCATTAGGAAGCACAAATCAACAAGAGAGTACCTATTCTTGAAACTTCCAGCTTCACTCTATGCCATGCTAAACGAAACTGTCACGTTTTTCAATTTGTGACTCCCGCCATCTTTTTGAACTTCTAACCGAGGCTTGATGTTGTTGCTGTTTTTGGAACCCATGCTAGGCCATATTGTGTCCGAACTGCTGTAGTTATATTTTTGCTCGTAGCTTATGGCGCTTGAATGATTGTATTCATTTACAATAAACATGTTTTTCAGAGAAAGTCTAGTTAATACACAAAGGTATGTACATTAGATGTTAAGGGCTAGTGAAAATTCCAAGGGATTCATAGATAGAGGGAAAGTATTTACTTCCACTTGCAAGTTTTTAGCCAGGGATCTTAGCCAAGTAACAAATTTGTGACTTATTATTGGCTTATCTTAAAAACTTAGCAATATCTTGTCTTAGTTTACTATGTTTGTATGGGCTATCCATCAAGATGATGAAAAGGGCATTGCCAATTTAGCAGTATTACAGCTAAACATGTTATTGTTATCAAGCTTTAGAGATCTGCAATATTTAAAAATTTATTTTAATTGAAAGCAAGAAGCATGTTTTTCTACAAAAATGATAGGGCATTTATATATGAAAAGGCGGAGATTTTCGTAGATATTTTGGCGGCAAGTTTATATCTTAACCCATTTGAATTAATTAGCCTTTTTAAATTGACGCCAAATTAAGAATGTTGGTACCATCTTAGTGGACCATGCATTTTTTAGTTTAGTTGACCAGTTTATCTGTCATTTGTAGAGCATCAGCATTTAAACATAGCACTCGCTTTTGTATGATAATGATAAATAACATTTATTCACTTAGAACAGTTATTTTAATATTAACATTGGCTAGCGAAATTATTTATAGCACAGTGATTATTTTTAGGTTGGCATTAGTCAATAAAATATTGACAAATCAGTGCAAGCGATGGCTGTCACAGATTTCAATTACAAGAGCTGTCTTTGGAATTTCTGAGGCAGAGCGTAAACGAGATGAGTCAATACCAGATCCTCCACCATTGGTAATAATAAGCTTTGATTTTATATAAAAAAGTATCATATATTGTTTATTTGTTAAGTATTGACAATGGTTGAATGAGTTTAACATTCCTTCCCCGGTGGGTTATATGTTAAACCAAGAATATTTTTTTACTTTCAGAGAATTTATCATTGCAAAAGGGAAGTTAGAGGAATGCCAAGGAAATTTAATATGGTTGCACATCAGGTATAATAGATTTCTAGAAACAATCCTTTGAAATCTAAAAATAAATATATATTTAAGACCATTAAAATAAATTGAATTGAAAATTCATTGTGATATTAATGGCTAAAACCAAGGTATTGTGATGAAAGCTAACCAAAGAAAGAACAAGCCAAACTACTGCTAGCATGTGGTTTAAAGCATGTCACCATATTCTTTTTTTCCCCACTTGCCAAGTTTATCCAGATTCGTGATTCTGATACTGTTGAAAATGACACCTTTGATTCTTTGAAAAAGAATTTGCTCTGTGAAACAAGTAATTGCTTCAAATAAAAATGGTACCTTTGTATTCAAATATGGCACCTTTCAAATTCTTCAGATCAGAAGACTGCCAGTAGATGAAGCCATACAACAAATGAAGTTTTCAAATAAAAAGACAGCAATAACAGTCAGAGAGGTATCTTTTTATCAATCCTGAACAGCTCTCAAAGAGCACCTTTCAAATTAGTAGACATTACAATGTTTTATGCCTGTTAATTTACTATTTTATGTCCCTGGTTTTTATTGAGCACTCACGAAGAGGCAGTACCAGTAGTGGAATTCACAAAAACAATTATCAAACTACTTAAACTTGCTGGTAGCATTATGACTGTTTCCAAACTATGATGATTAATATTGTGTATTTGTTAAGAAAACAAATTGCTCGTAGGATTTTAAGGTCAGGCCCTGGGTGTCTGGTTTCATTTCGGTTTACTGAATAACTAAGTATGATTAATGACAGATTGCAGAAGTTTAGGTGACAACCCAATTTAAATATCCTCCTAGACTCTTGAGGAGGCACAGCAAATGGCAGTTGAAAAATACAATGTCAAGGATAAATCAAACCTTTGGGTTGGTATGTACCATAAATATTTATGCTCACTTTTAAAACTTGCTATTTCTATTTTAAAAAAGCACAATTGAAAATAATGTTTATAAACCTTTAACTAAGGGTAAAGTTAATGATTATACTGTTCAATTATCAATGTTTCAAATAGAAGTAGAAATTTGAAGAACTTTTCTTGCATTTATCTGTTCATAATATCTTCAAAATATTTTATCTATGATTTATATTTCTTTACAGAGCAGGCATATGTTGGGCGAGCTCATCACATGAAACAGATTAAATATCATGCAAGAGGAAAATTTGGAAGAATGAAAATCTACTTTAGCAATTTCTTTCTGATACTTCAAGAGGGCCCAGCTCTAGAGAAAAACAAAAAGAAACAGAGAAAACACCTCACTGAACTACAGCAAATTAAAAAACATCCTTTTCATATTATAAACTCCTTATCTGCCTTTTAGTATCCTTGTGTCTATGGTAATTTTTGGTAGATGTCAATGCTTCTTGTTATTGTTTAAACAAATAAATTTATATCCATTTTATTTGCATTTATTACTTTTATGCAAAGTGAATCTTTGCATAATATTACTTTTATTACTGTTTCTGCACATAAACACGACTTGGAAAAACTAATCCTCAAGGGATCACAAGGGCATCCTTTTTGCATCTTATGACACATGTTTGATTACCACAATCCATTTTGCCCAAATTTTAAAGGTTTATGATTACTTCCAGATTTTTAAAAATAATGAGACACATTGAGATTTCCCTTAGAAAAATGGCTTTGGCCACTTGTTTGCATGTCTGATATTTCTTTGCCAATACACAGGATTAAAACAATGTGCTAAAAATCAAAGTATTTTGATAATTCAAACACTGGCTCAAAAAAGAGCAAAGAGGTACAAGCAGTATTGAAGCAAAATATATGAAATATTGGCTAACGGTCATTGAAATTAGAAATGCCGAAATGCAGAAACTGAAGAATGTCAAAAAAATTGATTTTCATTAAAAGCAAAAATTTTTAATTGATTTTCCATCAATAGTTAAATTTCAAGATTCTAACATAACATAAATTTTTAATACTAAGAATTTATATATTTGAGCTGATGGTTAAATAACACATTCACTATTAACTAAATTTTTATAGAACTAAAATTGAACTGGAAAAAAATTAATAATTTTAATTTTCATATTGTCATTTTCATTTCTAAATATTAACTTGTGCATTTCTTGTATACCCCATAAAAATTTGTGTTGGGATAGTGCATTTAAAAGTTTCTAAACAAACCATGGTCACACATTTCAGCTTATTTTTTCTAACTTGCAAAATATAAACTGGGTAGGCTTTTTCTAAACTTATTATAATTTTTGCAGGGGAATGTTCAACACTGTATATAATAATTGTTGTAAGAGTCGTTTGCTAGTGAGCAGGGAGGGGGTTTCAAATTTAAAACTTGCTCATTTTCTGACTAAGTTAAGTTGGAATGATATCTAACTTTGAGAAAATTACTTTTACTTACTTAGTTGAGAAACAATATATTATGCAAAAGGGTACCGTTTATTATTTTGAGAACCTTCCCAGTGTGTTAATAAGAGTTCCTTCTCTTTAAATTCACCTTATTGATCTAGACTAAACCTCTGATCTAGACTGATCTAGATTTACCTTATTACTATTCGGATATCTATTACTTACATATAATTAGGAAATTAGACAGGGATCTATTACTTGCATATAGAAAACTGGAGCTTCTTCACAAAATTACCCATTAAAATCTCAAACCTGCAACATTTATGCAAATCACAATGTTCAAAGAGATCGAGTGTCCTCCTTAACTGCACAAACAAATTAAGATGGCAATCTGCTAGAAATACATTGCATTGCATCTTGATTAACTAAGATACTGTACAAAGGACCCTTTAAATTTGTTTAGCTAGTATGCCTAAAAATAAATTTAAGAGGAATACAGCATATGCAAATGTCTGTTTCTAGCATTTCTTCTAGCAGGAAAATCTTAAACGTTCAATGAAAAAATCTACCTTTCAAGAACATTGAACTGAAATAATTTTCTGAAAAAATTCTTGGTAGAAAAACTACAATTTCTGAAAAAGTTGATTAAAACATTGAAATGCCCTAATTATTGGAGCCTTCAGACCACAATAATGGCTAATAATTTCTTCAGAAACCCACAAGAAATTTTGACATTCTTTCTTCACTTCAAACCTAGTCAATAATTATGAGACTCTTTGAGGGGGTAAAAAAGTATAAAGATATACAAAAATAGATACCCCAAACTAGGTAAATATATCCTTTGCTTGGACAAAAACGAATCGCACAAATATCTACAAATATTGATAATCCTAATTAACAATTTTTTGCCTGTGTTCTGAGTCTCAAAATGGGTTCTACTTGGATTACTTGGTAACCTAATTGAAAGGAGGTATACCGTAAAAGCTCTATTAAGCCCCCTCTCTCTATTAAGCCTCTCTCTATTTAACTAGAATTTTAAAAAACATTCATGCTCTGACCAGTCCCATCAAAATAGCATCAGGAAATATCTTTCTGGATATTTATGGAGAGTTTTATACTATTAACCACATCCATACAGTAATATCTGGAATGAGAAATTTAATATGGCAAAAATTGTGTTTCAAAAATGTTCTTGGCTGTGTTTGAGAATAGGTGTTGGAAATTTTATTTCACTGCACTTAAAGCAAAAATCTAAATATTGTGTAACTGGGTAGGGGATGGATGGGTTGGAAGTGAGAGGTAATATCAGCTTTGAGACAGACTTCTGTAACAAGAAGTGGCATTATATATAAAGGGGCCACCTTTCAGTAAGAAGCGATTGGCAACTGGAGATAATAGAGCCAACATTCTAAACAAAGACCTTCAAGGCATGCTGAAGAAATTAACATTGAATACCTGATCTTGATTCAATCTGTTCAAATGAAGAATATAAATAAAGATACACTATTTGTTTTGACTGATAAAACAGCTTGCATCACTGCTACTGTGTTATATGTTTTACAAGATTATGTGCTGAAATAAATACGGTATATGAAGACAACAACTACCTATCTCAAGCCTTCAAAACACTAAATCGAAGAACTAGCAATTAAAACTGCACCACAAACGAATAACATTCTACCCAGAAAAATTAGAAAGCCTAATTCAACAAATTAGATATAGTTAATACAGGTTAATTCACCTCATAATCAAATTTTTATCTTTGGTTGACATGCCATACTGGGTATTGCAACTCAGTCAGTAGAAACTCCCTGCATTTCTCTTTCAGCAATAAAATCCCAAAGCCTAGAAGAAATATAAAATACAGGGCATATTCTTACCAAAAATAAACAAAGCCTACTTAAAAATCCCAACTATCTAATTTAGATCTACAAGACCATGGAAGTTGTTCTCTCAGAGAACATTATTAAAAAACTATAGGAGTGCATTGAAGAATTTTTGTCAAGAAGTATGTAATTATTGATGAGTGAGGGCATTTCTTTCTTTAGACCTCAAATTATAACTACACTAGGGTATCAAAAGTATTGCACCACCTTGCTCAAAATGGCGGCACATTTTGTCAACTTATTGACAATAAAAAACATTTGGATGCATGATTTGCGTGAAATAGGCGTATTTCATAGTGGATTTCAGCGGGAAAAGTTTGAAAATTTTGTTGACGACATAGAAAACATGAAAACAAGAAATGTTCAAATCATGTAAAATCATTTTTGTTTGCAAAAATGTAGACCATGCCTGAGGGAGAAAGATACTCAAATAAGAGGCGAGTCGCTAAAAAATATTTCCGGGGAAGTGGTCTTTTAGTTTTGAAAAATTGTTGACCAAGTTAGTTGCAGCCATATAACAGCTGTGAGAAATCAAAAAAAGGTTTTTCGAGAGTGTTTCAGTAGTAAAGAAGCAGAGAAGTGGATGACCAAAAATAATTTAAGTTAGAGGGGAGAAACATTTTATTTGTCACTTCACTGTGTTTACACCAAGAGACACTAAATGACATGAAACTTAATGCTGAGCAAGGTTTTGCAGCTCAAAATCCGTCCAGACAAAATAAAATTGTGTTCTGCACAAATGCAAAATGAAAAGTTACCTGAGTAAAAGGAAACCATTTTTACAAAGATTTATTTCCAACCAAGAAAAATTAAAGTTTTGCCATGACCAAAATCAAATCCAGTTTTTAACATGAATAAAAAAGTGTGTCTTCATATTAAAAACGTGACAAAACATGGTCCAAAAGGTCGTCCAAAAGGCAGATAATCATTTATTGAAATAATTTTTCAGGCCTAATATGAAATTCCACAGGAATATGTTGCCTAAATAAATGCATCCATTTCAAGGAGGCTAATTGTGGTTTCAAAAGTTTGCGGTTACCCATCAAAATACTGAAATTTGAAACTGTTAAAAGACATTTGTTACTGTTATTTTTTAAACAACTGCTCTAAATAAATTTAAATGTTGATTAGTGGCCGTTTCATTCAAGACCCATTTCCATTCGCCTCTTAAAAGCACAATTAATTCACATAACAAAAGCTTTCTACCATTCATGCACCATTTCTCCTCCATTGAGGTGGTACAAACTTTTGATATCCTAGTTTATTTTGGAGAGATAAGGTTCATTATAAAGATATTCTACCTGGACATCATATTAGAATGAGTTACAATTTGAAATTGAATCATTTTTTTATTTTGTAAAGGGGTACCTTTGGGACCTAACTACTTTGGCATTTCCATCAGAATCTTCACAAAATCGCATCTTTGGCTTCTCTTTTTCTTCTAGTCTTCCATCACCATATGCTATGGACAAAACCAAGAATTAAAGTGACTAAGGAACAAGACAACCTGTAACTGACGAAAGGCGTAGGCAAATGTGGTGCTGGTTGATAGAGGATGGTAAGGTAATAGGCATGGTATAGCCAATGAGAAACTCTTGAGACCATCTCTTGTCAAAAATGTCAAAGCCAAATTCCAGGGTGTTACTGCCGGGTGCAACGCTAGGGTGATGTGGGGGTGTGTGTTGAAAATTTATTTATTCGGCTCCTCTTACATTCACAACTTTTATTCCAACTGTCCCAACAACAGGACTTTGTCCCGACATTTGAGAGACTACATCCTGATTTAAAGAAAATCTGTTACAGCATCATGAAATTGATTAAACCATCAACGATGCCAAGAAATTGATTAAAACCATTTTTCTACCTGAGGGTATTACTTCTGAGTGTAAGGTTTTATTGTACCAGTTATAATGCCAAAGGCTTATGCTATCTCGGTAGAAATGGTTCCTATTCTGTTTAATGAATGAATGAAAGAATTTGATTCCCAAATCCTGCTCACAAAATTTGCCAATTCCTGATTCCCGACTAATGATGATTCCCACTTCCCTGAAAATCGCATTGGGCACCCTTTGTGGTCATCTTGATGACTGCCCCTTTCCAAAAAGTCTCTGCATACGGCCTTGCGCCCCATTCTCTATTAAGTATTTCATCGCTGTGATCATTATTTTGTTGAAGGAAAGTAGAAGGCTCACATTTAAAAGACAGTGTCTATTAGTTAACTAAAGTTTGTGCAGTTATTCTAAAGTGAGGGTGAAAGTAGGGGACGAAGGTTTGGTTATTAACCGGCAGACTTTCGTCGATCAACAGCCTCTAATAAAATCCCTGATATAAGCCCATTTCAAACTTTTTGGTTAAGATATTTTTTTAAATTTCTGCTATTCCTTAAAAATCAGAAATATGAGAATAAACAGAGGGGATCTTCAAAACGGGCCCACCTTCAAAATAATCTAAAAAAATGAAAAACTTTAGTTACAAATTTGTTGAAAAATCATGAAGACAACAGCATTGATCCTTAAATGACGTTTATTGAGATGTAGAAAAACAATTGATTAACGAGAAAGAGGGTTCCTTCTTTTTAGATCTTGTTGCTTTGTTTTCATTTGATCAATAAATTTCCTACTTGGCAACCTGGCACTTGACACCCCTACTCTTAACAAATTTGTCTTGCACCGCCCTGGTTATTTCCCCAGGCAAATCACAAAAAATATGACAATCCTTTTGAGGTACAGAATTTAAAAATGGCTATGAAAATGCAAACATTTTGAAACATGTTAAAAAACTTTTCGTCTGACACTCTTCAGAGTATAAAACATCATAACATAGATCAAAAGCTCTACGCTAGGAAATATATATACCCAGTTGTGGATCAAAATAGGCCAATCAAAAACGCAAGCATACGAGGTTACCCAATCACTGCTGCTTGCCTATTGAGAATGTTATGAAAGGAGTCCTAAGGTGAAAACTAACTCCTTCTGTCAACCTACACAATAGTCGTCTTTCGATGTTTTTCAAGAGTGAATTCAGAAGAAATTGATTTGATAAAATTATTCACATGGACATCTAAAAAACATTAAACTTCACTTTCAACTTGGATTCAGTTATCCCCCTACATATTTCACTGACCCTAAAATATCCTGATGACCCTAACTGCACTTAACGAAGAGCCTTTTGACAACATTAAAGAGAAAGGACTACCATTGAACTGTTACTCTAACTTAGACTGTTGCTTACCATGGCGATAGAAACAGCTAGTTCCAAACGGACAATCACCAAGGCCTTTGTCAAAATACTTGCAATCTTTCGCACTGTCAAGAAAACAATCAAGGATACGTATATAGAGAGAAACAAGCAAAACTCACGGAAAATTTACCAAATCTGGATGATAAAATTGTTAAAAACCTTACTTTCAAAATCCAGACGATAAATTTTCTATCATCTGTAAAATTCAGCAAAAATGTTATCATCACAAAAAAATGTATCTCAAAACAGTGGGCATATGACTTTGTCTTAGAATATTCTTGCCTCTTACAATTTAAGATAATTAGACTGATCAAGACGGGCAGCGATATTTGCCCCACAATTGTGAAATGTGTCTAGTAACTAAAAAAAGCAATTTGCAGAAACCTGGGTTTATATAAATCTTAAGAAAAAGCAAAGAAAAAGTAGCAAAGATCGATTTTTGGTAAAGCACTCAAAGCAGTAGAAAATTCTCAAATTTTTCGCAACTCTTTGTATGAAGACAAGAATATCAAAATATCTTAAAATACCTTAATGCTTTTGTATAATCTTCTATTAAGCTTTGCTTCTCTATAGGGTCATCAATCCAAATCTCACTCTGCATACACAACAAAGGAAATATTAAGACAATCATTATTCGATAACCAAGTTCAATAGAAGCTTAGTTGAGGTCTTCGTAGAGACTTTAACATACTAGATAGTTCTTTAGATCGATTGAATGCAAATGATAAGCAAAGATTAAAATAAGCAAATAAGCAAAGATTAAGATAAAAGAAATTATATACTACAGTTGTGCTTCTAGATGGAAGATCACTGATTTAAAAGGAAACACTGATAAAGAATCATCATGAAAGCTAAAATGGTTCAACTGAATTTCATCCTACCGGAATTACAAATCCAGAATTAACTCTGCAGATAGGGCATGCTCTAAAATTGGAGAAAAAAGTATGTTTAAAGATGTCTGCAGGTCGTGGGGAAGGCATACTTAGTTCAAAAAGTGATGATAAACACGTGATTAATATTTTTAAATTAGATGGTAATTTGAAATTAATATTTCTTTTGACTCAACATACTAATTATGATTTAATTGGAAAGAGCAGGAACATAGGGTACTGTAAGTATTTTTCACCAGAAAATTTATATCAAGGTGTGGTACGAAGGTAACGTGTATGGAAGAAAGCTATGAAATTCAGCGACCGCTATGACAACAGCAATAGCCCAAAGGTGTGACAGAGAAGGATATAGCGATTTATCCCCCAAATAGTGCAAAAAAGTGACATGCAAATTTGATGAAGGGTGTAATTTATGAAGAAGGTGAATATACTTTATGAGATGCTCATACACAGAGGAGATAAATCGTGACATTCTTAAGTAGGTCTAAAAACAAGACTAAAGAAGCAAACGATCATCAGATGCATTTTACGTACTTGACTTCTTTTTTGCCTCCTGATGACTGCCGCCATTTTCGAATGCATTGCAAACAAAAGGTGTGATTACAGTTTTCTAAAAAAATTTAAAAGAGATGATTATTTTTTTGGAGCCAAATTTAATGGGATTATTTTGCTTCTATTTTTAAAGTAGTTATGAAGGCTAAATAAAAGGGAAAGGAAACTTTAATATATAGGCCAAAATTTCCCTGAAGCGATGCTGATGCTTTCGATTTAGATTATGTATGCAGTGAAACGGGGCAAGAATTCTGAATTATTGGTTGGAATGCATTGTAAAAAGCCACAGGTTTTCTAAATTGATATCTGAAAGGTGGCTTGTTCAAAGAGTATTGTCTACAATGATTGTTAAACAGGTAAAGAATTGAGCAATTTGGACAACTGCTCATAACATTACCCTCTAGTAAGGTAATGCGTAGAAAAGCATATTGTGTTCATATAATAAAATGACAATTAGCCATATTTTCTACCGAGAATGGAATGGTAGAAAATCGTTAATTTAAGGTAGCGATTCACCCTTCTCCTCGCATTTCCATTCTTTAATCGTGGTCAATCTCCTTGCTGGTTACTTTATACAAAATCAGACTTTTAAATGACATTTACAAAGGAAATGTGTGGTGTACATACCAAGAATCCCAAATCTTTGTTCTCCAAAACTTTCTCGCTCAAGAACAACGTCCATACAAATGCAACAGCTAACATTTTCACTCCTTTACAAACATAAAAAACAAGACACTAGTAAAATATTAAACTTTTCAAGCATTTAAAGCTCATAAATAAAAAAGCAGCAATCATTTCATCTTTATACAGGCAACTAATTTTAACAGAATGATTGTTGCTACCCGATATGCCACACAATCATGTCCTTGGTGAGAGCTCAATTTACGTGAAAAATAAATTGATACTAAAGATATGTCTAGACGAACAGGACTTGTGATAATACTATCATTTGCAGAAAAACCCTGGCCCACTAGCAAGAGTCTCGTACTAAACAACCTCGGCCAACCACAATGCATCTGGCCAACGGCAAAACAGCGTCCAGACAAAACAACTCCTGAAGAACTCTTTGCAAATACAAGTCATTATAAAGCACACATTACTCTGAAAACTCTTGGACTAGCACACTGTTTTTCACTATGAAAAAATGCCTTACGATTTTACATCCTGGCAGACAAAAAACGACTCAGTGATTGAAAAACAGAGGTCTTCATCCTTACCTTTCAAAACACCAAGACCACCTTGCAAAAACGATCTGTATTATCACAAGGCTAGCAGTCTTGTTCAAAAACAGTTTAAAACCGATTTCCACATATTTGCTAGAAATCTTGTAAGAAATATGTTTTCTTCCATTTATAATCCTTCAGGAATTTAATCACTATGCTGCAAGTTATATATTTGAAACTTACTCATAGGTAGGTAAGTATTATTAAAAAAAGACTTATTCACCCCAGGACAATCACATACCTTTGAATAGCAAATGAATATTCCATATCACGTTCTTGGTTGTCTAAACAGTTCCTCCTATGTTCTAGACAAGGTAAAAAAATCCATAAAATTTAAAAAAGGATTGATATTCACAACAAAGTTGTGCCATCAGAAAAATTTTAACATAGACAAGTTGTGCAGATATATTTTAAATTTTACATAGACAAAAAACTATAAATATGATGAGACAAAAATAGCAAATATACATAAAGTGACGAAGACATACATTTTACAGACAGTTACAGAAAAAAGGAATGTTTTCGTACCTATTTGTTGCTCTGGATCTAATGGGTTTAAGCACTGCCTGTCACAAATGTCACATCGAAGTCCATGAACATAATGGCAGCTACAACCAAAATATTCAATCACACACTTAAGTTTTGCACAAAATTTGTATGGAAACTTTGATGCTTGATGTATAAATGTCTAGCTTGTGAAAAACTAGAGCTCTGTGTTGAAAATGCAAGAAACTTTAAGTTGCAAAATATCAAGTTAAGGACATGATATATATTGAATGCCACAAAGTAATCGTGAATAATGCTATTTAAATAAAGGACCATGTTCCGGAACCCTGCATAAAAAGATTGAGATCTGATATGCATAAATATAGCGCTGAAATTAATAAGTTCTTCTAAAGAATCAAATAAAAAAATATATTCTTTTTCTAGATACAAGTAATGATTATCTAAAGCTGTGACATGAAACGTTTAAATACAAAAAATGGAATGATATGATGATTTTCACTATACCTGTCACCATATGGGCATTCTCTTACAGCAGCAAAAGGGCACATCTGTAAGATATTTGCAAAAGTTATGAATCACTCAAAAATGCATAAAAGTTTTTAATCCAAAAGAAATGCCACTAAATAGCTAGAAAATATCTAAAAAGAACTTCTGAATTTGGACCCCATAACCTGAATGGGGCTAGAAAAATTCGTCAAATTCTTTTGTACAAAATTTTTGACCTCAGATTCCGATTGAGAGCAGTGATTTTAGTCCACTTGGTAGTTTTCCTTATGGTATTGCTCACCATATTGATATCACAACAACCTAAAGATAACAATTTTATAAGGGATCTGACTGTGATTGGCGAGTAGGGGGGTAAAGTTTCCCCATGAAATGATTTTTGCGGTCAAATCCCTTATAAGTTTTCAAACTTCATTCCTTCGTAAAATCTAAAAATAAAAGTGCAAACAATATGAAGAATATTACCCCACCTAAAATTATGGTGAGAAAACCAAATCCGAGCTTAAAAAAGTCCCAGAATCAAGTTTTGAGAAATTTTCAAAACGAAGTCGTAAGTCGAACTTGTGTTTTGGCTGAGAAATGGCCACATAAGCACTGGCCCTTCCTCATCAAACCTCTAACTTGGTCTCAGCCAAAATAACTGTATTCTGTTAGCAAATAATCATTAGCCATATCTCATATGATTATTTTTAAGATAATTAGCTGATTTGGCAATTTTTATAAATATTTAATGGTGTTCTTGGTGTTCAACTCTGTAGGCAGTACCATTAAAAATCCATTATGAGACCATCAGACAACTGAATGAAAATCAGTTGATCAATATTTACCAGATGTGATATCTCTTCTGGTGTCAGCTCAAAACTTGACGCATCCTGGAATGCAGCATCACTGTGGTCATCTTGAGTGGTGTCTGTTTTTTCTGGTGTTGTTTCCTGTGCCAACAAAAATAAGGAGCTATGGTAACAAAAAATGTTTTCTCACGTAAACAGATAGTTAATTGTGAAACATCTTAATAAGCATCGATTACTTAAAAGAGCTTTAGATATGTTCTTAAAAATGCTAATTTAAGATTGAAGTCAAGCAAATAGAAATAGAACAGCTATTTATATAACACTATACAACTTGAAATTTTACAAATCCTTTTCCAATCATAAAACTAGAAATTTTTGCTAACTAACATCAATAATAAATGTCTTTGTATTCAGTCTTATTATTTTATTAAGCAGATTTTGTCTAATTCATACACATTTTTTTTCTAATGCTCTCATTAGCAAGCAACATGGTGCAAATTGACAGAATTGTACCTCGTCTTGCAGACTGTCTTGGGCACTCAGAGTTCTGTGGTGTTTTTTACCCTAAAACAGATAAAATAGTAGGATTAGGATATGGTTGGTCAACTTATAAAAATAAGGTGCTTTTCATTGCTTTAATGGATGAATTTCACTTCAGAAAATAAGCTAGAATGAAAACATTTGGTAAGCAACTGGCAGCATTTGGGGAAAAATAAAAGCATAGGAAGTGGAAAATACAGTATAAAAGTAATTGAGTACTGGTTGAATTAATTAGTACTCCGGACAATTTTCATTACAATTAATGTTGATCCGAAAACAGCAGTAAAAATATTTTTATATCAAAGACACTGGTTTCTTCCTAAAATTGAAACAGCTAGAAAGTCTTTACGCAAAGCAAAAGAAACACTGCAAATGCTTTTCCTGCTGCAGAAAATGTATACCTTTCCTCCCTAAGCAAGTAGCCAAATATATGTTGTTAAATCCAAGGAGAATTAGATACTCAGATTTTCAACTTTTCGAAAAAGTGAATCGGATAGGCAGATACCATCAGACAAGATTATTTTTTGTAGAGACACGTTTAAGTGCTAATGATCACCTTGATGGTATGAAAAACTAGTTAAGAATGTTATGTGCATATGCAAGAGGATCAATTTTTGGTGAAAAGGTAGGATCACTTACTGGTTCAAACACAGGAGCATTCACTATCCACCAGTCAGAAGGTTTCACCTCCTTTCCTGCTTTTTTTTCTTTTAACACATCTGGCACCTTGTACAAAACTTTTTCAGGCTACAAAAATGCACAAAATAATGTAGGTATAAAAGTTTACATAGGATATGCCTAGTACCAAAAATGTTGCTACAAATCTACACTTACTTTCTGGCAAAATCTGCAAAAGAGTTGCATGGCCTAAAAACGGCAAGCTTGCATGACCTTGGCACTTTTTTAGAGATGTCCAAACAAATTCAATTTTTAGATTCGCATTTGCATAACAAAGAAATTTACAAATAAAATTACAAAATCAAACTATTAAGTCTCAAATAAAGTTTAATGAATCAACAAAAATGTTACAATTTCATGAAATTATTGAATTTACTCAAGCTACTTTTAAGGCTGCATAGCACTAAAGGGAAAGCCACAGTACATCGTCGGCAACGATATATTTTTGCTTTGAGAGAGCTTTTATTTTATGAAGCTGGAAAACTTGTATTTCTAATGACTCTCTTCGCCATGTCTTTGCTTGTGTTCTCAAATTTAGCTTTATTTGTACACGACAATATAATGTCTGGTGTGGATTCAAACCTTTAACTTCACAGTTTTCTCAGAAAGGACCTTTCATCCCTCTGCGTCATAATTTTTTTTTGGTCTACCAACCCTTAGCAAATTTTTTACTCTTCTTGTGATAAAAAACTTTTTACACACCAGAAAAGCTGCACTCATTGAGCAGCCAAAAATTGATGCAATTTCACAAAATCCATTTGCTTTATTTTAGTAGAAAGCAATTTGCAAGCACTTCTTGTAACTCAGTTCTTGATTTTTAAGAACTCCCATGCTTACGTCTCAAGGCCTGTATAAATTTTATGGCTGTTGTTTTGTGAATTGTTTGGCGTACATAAAAAGCATCAAAACATCAACAAATGTCTTGCAAAAATATCATGGAAACAGCTGTCGTACTTTTTAGATGAAAAAAAATGTTTTAAAAAGTATTTCCAAATTTGTTGCATAAAATGTCTATGAAAATTCCATGTTTGTCCCAATACTTTTTGAGCATAAGTGTATAAGAAATTATATTACAAAACATTAAACAGGATATCAATATATCAAAAAGTCAGATATTACGTTGTGGTGAACCATTCTCATTAGAATTCTGTTTATATGCATTTTCACATCTTTTTATTGTTCACACATAATTACCATTGTTTTATTGCATTTTAAATATTCTTTGTTGTTTCATATTGTACTGCACATTAACTCATATCGATGAAATCAATTTAGTTTATGTTAGGGGTGGGAATGGGGGGGGGGGGAC